CTGTGGACATGCTTTAGTGGAGAGATGTCAGAGTGAGGCTGCTACACACTGCTATGCAGGGAGCGCAGCAGAGTGGTTGGGAGTTCAGTACCTTGCTCAAGAGCACCTCGGCAGTGCTCGGGAAGTGAACTGGCACCTCTCCAGCTAACAGACCAACTTCCAGATTATGATCCGCATCGGGACTTGAGCCGGCGACCCTCCGGTTCCCAACCCAAGCCCCCACCCCAAACTGCCAATTTATGCTAATGCATTCTTAGAATGGCCAGCAGGGGCCGCTGTACAGCAGTGCTGTGCATCCTCACTGCTCTCAGCATTTGATTGATTACAATTTTCCTGTCAACCATTCAATTTGATTCATTATCATAAAGCTTCGCGATGCAACACAATGGGTTGCATTCTCAATTTTCTGTATTGCTGCACATTCATTTTCTCATCAATGAAGACAAGCAAACTGATGAATCATAAATCACTTATTTAATATATTTAGAAAAGTGCTTTAAAATTCAATTTAAACACAAATGTCGATTATGTTCTATCAATGGACCATGATGCAGAATCGTCCACTTCTGCATGGCTATGGTAGAAATTATGATTTTCAACATCCTGTACAGGATGCAAAAAAAAAAGCGTGATTTCAAGCAACCAGATGAGAAATTACCGTACGTCTTAATGTTTTTATCACCTCAGGAAGATTTTACTGAAGAGTTTAGGACCCAGGTTCTTGGTATCTAAGTGTCATCTCTTTTTGTACATTATGGTACATTTAGAATATAATTGACAGCATAATGAGAGGGCATGGCTGCCTGTCATTAACGGGCACTTACCATGTCAACCTGGAGAGAAACCCAACAACACCTATCCACCCTGTCAACAGAATATGCTCTCTTCTTGCTCCAAATAATCAAGCAGCAATGGCAGAAATATTTAACCATAGACTTTTACTATTGATGTCACTGCAGCTATGCTAACTTTAGAGTCTGAGGTTAATTTGTTACAACATAGGAGGACAGTAGCTCAGCAAAGGAGCTGAGCTACTCCCATTCTCCTGGGATGGATTGGAAGACGGCTCAAAAGTTCCTTGCCAGTCTAAGCCCTCTGTCAACCACATTAGAGGGACAGAAGATTGTGCCCTGTAACTTTTTTTAACCATGCTGCTCAACAAGTCTGTCACTTTGTGGCCAGCAATTTGAGTGATGATAGCAATCTGCTTTGTAGTTGGGCAAATATGAAAGGTGCAGACTAGACTGCCCTGATTGGTATAACAAGTGCATGCTACTGTCAGCAGGTGCTTCATAGAGAACAATGGGGAAATGTAGTACCAATCACTTTTGATGGGTTACATCATATTTACAGGATTGGGTTTATGGTGCAAATACATGATCTAAACAACTCTCCTGACTCTGAAGCAGACTGATGTGACTAAATAGAGTTGGATACAGAATAAAATACAAATTTAAAGCTGAAGACTTCTGCATTCGTTTTACCAAAATCTTCGTTTGTCAAAAACTTTTTAAAAAGTTGTTTTGTCCAATTTGATTCTATGTCATACATTGTGACTTTGTCCCATTTTTAGAGTCTCCATGCAGTCAAAGAGAATGAGCTGAGTATCAGACATACTCTGAGGCACTATAAAACAAGCACAGTCAGAATTAGGACGTATTCTGCATTAGTTGCTCCCGAGAGGAGATGCTGACCTGGAATGCAAAAATTGTGACAGACTTGTTGATGTGAAGCCGCCAGTGTGTATGGGTGAACAGAAGATTACTCGGTGTGATCTTGCAGTGAATCTGCAGCTTGTGAACAGTCGTTTCATTAACGAGCTGGAAACATTACTTGTGTTGGGATTTACACAATATCATTATTTAAAATGATACAAAGCATGATGTTATGTTTTTTTTTTTTGTGAAACAGCTGTTCAGATTTGTTGACGGAAAAAAGCCGGTGTTCTGTTGAAATCTGCTGCCCTTTCAAAAAATGCTACAATATCACAGAATGACAGCAGAGGCTATCCTCTATCAGTTAAGGCTACCAGAACAACATAACTTTATTCTGAACCACTATTCACTCTATATGCACTACACTGAGTATTGGGAGATAGTTTTCTTATTCTCTATTATTAAAGATTCCAGGGGAAGCATATCTCGATAGACAATTATCCCCTGCCAAATAATTCAGAATTACTTTCAAACACCCCTACTTGCTGTATTTGCACAGAAGGGAAACGGGAAGCATGCTTTCATACTCTATAATAAAACCTTCATTAAGGATTTTAGAGGAAGCATATATTGAGATGAAAAGCCCCTGTCAAATAATGTTTCCTGTACGGCCCAGAGGTGCATGGAAGCACATCTTGATGGTTAGCAGAATTTGATAAAACACCAGGGTTAAAAAAATAAATGAGATATAAGATATTGTGGATGTCTCTCATGCAACAGCAGAAGTTTGACTTCCCATTATCTAATGTAACTTAATAACCCATGACTAATTCTATTTTATAATGATTAATTATCCGTGTTTAATAATCCATCCACTTTAGGGAAATTTAACCATCTGTCATATCGACTTACACTGACATTTTGGTGGAGCAGGGCACTTAAAGATGTTCCAACACCAAACTATCTGTATGTACCCTTGACATGACTTTTTCTCTTTTTTTTTTTGCCCTCAAACCTTCCAGCCTGATCCCTCTGTTGCTCCCCCCTCTGCCTCGGTTAAGATCAATGTTTTCCAGGCTGAAATAAGGAGATTACCCAGGCACACTCTTCCACCCTCCCCCAGCTTTTCAGCATGCTTGCACCGGATCAGGTTTTTCTTCAAATTCTTGCCTGTAACTCATGCTTCTTTCTGCATCCAAATTACATCTCTGTTGTGGCTGAGGGAATCAGGTCATTTCTACACTGTGGGATCAAATGTCACCTACACTGTCTTTGTCTGCAAACCATGCAAATATGTCTACTCTGGACTGCCTGCAGGGTCGGATATTGTCTCTGTTTTCTTTCAAATCCTTTGTTTATACCACTTTTTATTCAAAGATTTACCACTCCTTAAACCCTCACGTTTACCCATGCATACTATTTCTTGCAATTTTCGGTTCAGTTTTCAGTTGAGGCATGATGTCACGAGTTTTTCTTACTTGATTTAGTGTTAATTATTGTCACGAGTTCTGTAGGTTTGGTTTAGTCGTTCATTTCATTTGCTCAGATTACATTTTCTATTTGGCTGCACAGTGGTGCATGTGGTTAGCGCTGTTGCCTCACAGAGAGGAGGTTCCTGCTGTGAATCCCCGTCAAAAGCCTTTCTGTGTGGAGTTTGCATGTTCCCCCTGCGCACGCGTGGGTTCCTACCAGGTACTCTGGCTCCCTCCCACACTCCAGAGACATGCTCTTTAGGTCAATTGGTGACTCTAAATTGCCCATAGGTGTGAATATGAGTGGCTGGTTGTCTGTCTCTATATATCAGAGATTGACTTGTGATCAGTCCAAGGTGTACCCCGCCTCTCGCCCAATGACAGCTGGGATTGTCTCCAACCCCCCGACGACCCCAAACAGTAAAGGGTTGAAGATAGTGGATAATGACATTTTCTACTTTGTCATTTTCACCCTCGTGTTTCTTTACACACTCCCTACCTGTGACATTCTACTGTCCTAGTCCTGTTTTATTTTGTAGCTCTTGTCTCCCTGTTTTACTTCCTGCCTTTCTGTTTGATTGCCTGTCACACCCTCATTTGTTTCACCTGGTCACCAGCCTATTGGCTCCTACACACACACACACACACACACACACACACACACACACACACACACACACACACACACTGTTTCATGTTTACTCTGTCAGCTCCCTTGCACATAACCAGCCAGCTTTCCCTTTTACATTGCAAATTCATTGTGAGTTTTTGCAGTAGGTTCATTCTGTTTGTCCTGCTTTTAGTACCTCAATCTTTTCTGTTTTTTTTTCACCTGCCTGTCTGCCATTCCAGGATTTTGCAAGATGTTGATTTTTACGTGATTAAATCTCTTCTGTTCGCTGCATCAGCCTGCCTGCCTGTATATTTGTGCCTGCATTTGGGTCCAGTTTCCCCTGTTCGCCTGCAGCTTGTGACACATGAAGAAAGAGCCATTGCAAAATAGAATAATTTATTTTCGAGAGCTACCATGAATAGGTCCATAGTGTTTCCTTCAAGATGTATACAGTGAAGTTCACATAGTAAATTTGACAGATGATATTTTCCACCGACTGTCTAAGCTTTGTACACTATGGGGTCACCTCCAGCACAGCAAAGTCCCATTCAACTTTTTTTTTTGTTTTTTTGTTGTGTAAAGATCCAGCATATTCAAAAGTGTTGTAGAAAACATCTTATCGTAACACGTGTATGTACTCTGAGCAATAAAACACGTTTTCAGTCAGCATATTAAAGCCATGTTACACTGTAACATGTTCAACACACATAATCTCACATGACGGTCTCTTGGTGATGCATGTACAATACCTGTGTCCTGTTGTTGTAGACCATTAAATAAAGTTTTTCTTTGAATAAATATAGATACACAATCAAGCTGACATTTCCCCTAGCCTCATGGATGAGCTCGGCAAATTCACAGTATCAGCATTTTTTGAGTTTTCAGTCTGTTAGCGACCAATTTCATGTTGGGATTTTCTTTAAAAACTTTTTAGCATGTCGTGAAAAAAGTGCCATGACAGTTTGGATCTCTTGCAATTTAAAACCTAAAGTTAGACTTTTTTTTTTTTCCAATTGTTTTTACTGTCTTTGTAACCTGCTCAAAGACAGTCGTTACCCTCCTTTCCAAATTTTGTTTGATGCAGTTGTGATTATTTGAACCAAGAATATTTGTGCATTTGGTCCTCAAGTCATATTCTGTGAAAAAACAAACAAACATAAAAGCAAACGGAAGCACATTTAAAAAAAAAAGTTGTCTTAGCTTTTCTATCTACGGAACTGAGCACCAGCACACGATCAACACATTCCCCGGACTACTATAAAAGGTGCCACAATGCTTTAATGTGATTCATAACATTGTCACTAGCGATGTTTTTGAAAATGTTGAGCTCGAAGCCGATTGATATAAATATCTGTGGTAAACAATATGAGACGAGTACATATAGTAAACACAGAATGCAGTTCCATCAATGATTAGGCAAGAGTGAAAAAACTCAAAGGCAGCCGAGGGCTTCGTTGACCTCATGGTGCCGCTCTCCGTTTCAGAGTCTGTTTCTCACTTTTCACTTTGTCCTTTGTAGTTCAAACGTCACATCAGAGTTTGGGTTTCCATTGTTCAGTCTCAGCAAGCCAAGTGGTCCGTACTCTAATGTGGTTGTTTTTTTTTCTTCCGTAAAGCTCTCGTGAAACAATAATACAGTGTTTTTTTTTTAAAACAAGGTTTTCTTTTTTCAGAACCTCAGGTTCTCCCTTGTTTACATACCTTCAAAGGAATGTACTCAAGCAACGCATAAAACTTTCGAATGATTGTCTTTTTCGATGAAATACATTTCACATGACTCAACCAACCATTCGCGCCAACACACAGTCATACACACTCACTCTTCACAGAGGAGAAAACGCTATTCAAGATGCCTGCAATGCTTAATAATGAGCAACAACTCTGTCAGTGAGACAGACAGAAAAACAAAAGAAGAAAAATCAACAAAGAGCAACAAACAAAGAAACCAACAACACCCAACTCAAAGACTCGTCCTCAGTGTTGTTATTGGAAGGAGAGCTGTGTGTCAAACAAAAGAGGAGAAGCCAGCGGTAGGTGCCTGTGTGGCACAGCCCATGCTGCTGGGGGGCCGGTACAGGGTGCCATGCTGGCTGGGGGGGTCAGAGGACAGCAGGGAGGGGGTGGGAGTCCGGCTTCCCTTTGACCTAAACAGAGTGCCCTGGCCCTGGCACTGGGGCTGCGGGGTCGGGGCGCTCTGGGGGAGGAGAGGGGGGCAGAGGGGGCAGAGGGGGTACGGGAGGCGGGTGCTGCCGTGACTCCTGTTCGACCAAAGGCTCGGGCTGGGCGTAGCCGTACGCCGGCGGGCGGGAGACGCCCTTCTGCTGCCGCCGCCAGGAGTTGTAGTAAGTGGGGTCGCTGATGTAGTGATTGACGAAGGAGTGGGTCTTCTGTCGGCTCTGATCCATCTCGTATTCGCTGTCGCTACCCTAGAGACGGAAAAAAGATTAGAAGACATGTAAACAATGAAAATACAACGATAGACGACTAAGCAGATACATGTTCAGGATGTTTACTACAAAGAATAATGACAGCTAAATGACCACCAGTACGATCCTATTTAATTCCAATACAGCAGCTTTACAGTCAAACTGCACTGCAAACTCACAAATCCAAGCAAGGCTATTTGTCTACTTGCTAGTCCAAAATATGTCATTATACTTTATACAAGCCACATTCTCCTGACTAGTCCAAATAAAAATCTAATTTTAAGATATTACAGGCAAAAAATAAGACATGAACAGCTAGTAATATGTACAATTTAACAGACAACTATCAAGTAACATTTTCTTGGCCCAGGCAGATTTTATCTTGAGTTATTCAGGCCTTATATTTTACTTTTTACATCTTGAAATACGATTTTTATCGGGACTTATCAGGTGAATATGGGTTTTATTAAGTTTAATTAGGGTTAGAAGTAGACAGATGCACTTGCTCAGGGTTGTATTGTTGCAGTGTGCACAATACTAAGTCCCAACACAGTAGGATTTATGTATAAAGAGACAACTGGAGATCTATTAATCCATGTATTTTAATGAGAGATGTTCCAATACCAATTATTCCTTCTCAATTCTGATTCTGTTACCTTGATTCAAGGTTTGGCTAGTACCAGGTATCCCCTCATCAATAATGAGATTAGAAAACATACAAAATGTTGATGGGGAAAATGCTGATTCATGACACTTTGCTAACTTTTACTCATATTGCACTGACTGCTTGTATCACATTGATGTTGTATTTGATCCATTATGATACTTTGCCTAAAAAAGCAGGTTTTTGGGGCTAATATGACATGGTGTTGGATAACTGCATTGGCAAGCATAACTGCTAATAACCCATGAAGCTTTTGAGACATTAATGGAGGTTGATATCCATATTGGTTTTGGTATTAGCTTCCATTTCTGATACTGGTATTGGAACACCTCAGACAGAATCCTAGCTATTTCTTATCTTCTACATAGGAGCCTACCCGTAGCTCTGTGGAGCACAGAAGTGATAACTGTACACAAGAGTGTCCTAGAATTGAACAAGAACAATGTTTACATGGTTACTTTTTTCATCTTGTTTTTTTTAGCCATAGGTCTTGTAAGTACCAAAGGTTTGTGTTGGTGGATCCTGACAACCTTCCAGCACAACAAACTGTCTGAGAGACACAAACAAAGAACAAAGTGCTCTCACAGACAGCATTATCACTCGGCACATTTGTGTGCCTGACAAGTGCTTGGCCTTCTACTGCTCTATTGAGACAGCGCGGCTTAGCAGATGTTGAAGCGGCATTTATTTGCACAAGTGGCAGGTAAACAGTGGGAGGCCATGCAGAAGAGAGGAACAACACCAGTTTGTGTGTCCCAAAGGAGCAGTGTTTGTTCGAACCGGGTTGAACAATGTTTTGACTGTGCAGGTACCAGATAAATTGGCCATGGAGACCCAGTGTGAGTGTGGGAAGACAGATGTTCACGATCGGATGCAAGCAGCTTCTCTGCTTTTTCACATCTGTCATCGCAAAATCACTTCTAACCTCCCTATTTCTTCAATGGACCTCCGTTTCCCGCACACACATACACACAGTGAGTCATTCAGATCGTCACATGATGAGCAGAGCAGGCCCAGATTAACATAGCATTTCCTGTTTGAAGAAAATTAATTAGTTTTGAGGGCATTTCAGAACACATGGGACATGAGAATAATCCCAGTGCTAACTTCCCATGGGAGGAATCAGTTTCAAAACTCAGATGTCAGCTATGGCTAGCCTAACAGATAATATTTAATTTTCAGATGATGCAATCGAGGCAGATTGTTTTGCTAACTGTCACTAGTTTATCCTTTGAAAATCTGCTTCTTAGCTTTCTAGATTTTGCATCTAATAAACAGCAGGGGATGGAGGTTTGCAAGAACAGAGGAAAGTGTGTTTGGGAAGGTTGTGACTTTGCCCTGGAGGAATTTGTCACTTTGAGAAACTTTACTTTTTCACCTAAGTTCACTGCCAAATCATGATTTAAAGAAAAAAAAACCTGCAAGCCAGGGTCACTGCTTTACCTGAGAGTCGGATATCTCCGAGGGTTTCTCGGTCAGGCTGCTGCTCTCTGCTGGGATCAGGTCGTTGTACTTAGTGCTGACATCCTCATCAGAGTAGTGCAGACTTCCGGGACTTGGTCTTGGTGGGGACCTGCGCAGCGGGAGAGAAAAGTCGACAGAGAAAGAGCGTCTGTGAGAGATAGAAAGAAAAAAAAACTGTGGGAGAGAGAGGGGGAACTAATGGTTATATAAGATTTCGATTTTTGATCATCATCCTCATATTTCCCTGCGGGGGATCTCAAGCTGGTTTTCAAAAGCTCTCTCTCTCTCTCTTCTTTGATAACTTGTTTTAGTAAACATAAAAGGCTTCATCATTCTGGTGACTGACAGCACTCAGATGACTAATGGGAGGCTGAAAAATAGGTCTTTAAAAATGAAGAAGCTTCACATCCAACAGGGGGTACGGTTGGATCAACATGCAAGGACTCATTGATTATGGAAATGGAAACGATGGCCTAGTTCAGACAAACAGAGAGGGCTTTTTTTTCTGCATTCCAAGGAGCCACTTATTAAAACAGGGACAAGTTGATAATTGGACTAATTTACGCCGGATATTTACAAAGTGTCATTAAGCAGCTTTGGCAGAGGGGGTGAGTTCATCCCACCTCAAGCGTCCTGCGGTGCACAAACAGGATAATAACTTATGTGCATCTTCCTAAAAGGGGCTTTTTGTGGTGATTAAAGTGTAACACTGACTCACACAGTCAGTCGGAGATTTAGACCTCCTGCAGAAAAGCTGCGTAACTAAGCGTGGCCCTGAGCTCAGCAAAGAATTATAAACTTCTTTTATGAGCGCAGGTCAAGTAAAAAGACCCCGCGGCTTCCTTCAGCTGCAGTCATTAGGCCCATAAAAGTGAAGCAGAGAAAAACATCTGTGCGGACAATTATTTCTCTCCTTCTGCAGTAATGACCGCGGCTGTGTTCAAGGTCCGCTGAGACTGAATCAGATGGTCAGAGGGCTAAATGTGAACCCTCACATCACTGAGCTACATCAGTGGGCTCAGTATGTAACTCAGACTTAACGCAGCATTCAAAAAGAAGAGTGTGCTCCATTGGGTTTAGAAAGAGGACGGCAGAATTACTGAATTATAAAAACCAGGATGGGCTCGAAAAGCGAATGTTTAAATGATGTGAAATGGATGGGAAACGTTGGATGTGGGGGCAGAATAGACGAGCATAAAAAAAGCTGTTATGTCAAGTGTAATATTACGGCGTACAGCAGACAACCTTGACTTCTCCTCGAATGAAAATGAACATGTGATGAGATGTATACGCAGCGAGCTAAATCCCTGGGATTGCCAAGAACAGGAACTCGGAAGACACAACATGACAACGGCCATGAAAGGGGGCTGACACAACAAAGGGACAGCTCCTCTGGGTTGAAGGGGGTGACGGGTGGGGGTGGAGAAAAAAAAAAAAGACTGCTTAGAATTCAGACAAGGTTGAGTCAGACATTAAAAAAGATGGAGCCATGTGATTGTAGTGGGGAGGGGCTGTGGATCCTGCTACCGATCACACTCAGGAATCCTCCCAGTGAGCTTTGAATTATTTAGGAGCACTGTATTTTTCCCCTTGCCTTATCTGTCTCATTCATCCTTCTTTCTCTCGCCCTTTCAAATATCCCGCAGGGAGCCCTCCCACTCCTCTTCCTTGGTCCACAGATCATTAGCAAAGAGTACGCTAGCAGATTGAAGCTCTTCAAAGAGATGGAGCAACGAGAGACCCTTTGATCCCCCCTTCTTTGGACTCTATGGTCAAGGAGAAAACAGCAAAGATTCCCCATGCCTGCCCTTCTGACACTTTCCACCATTATGTGCACATTTAAGAGCGAAAAACATCTTTTTCTTTGACATGAAGCAGACTCTGGACCCCCAACCCACCCAACATAAGCACATGACCTACCATCCAGTCACTAAATGTGTGACCTATGGCTCTGCACAGGACATTCCTCTTTGCACCATGGGCTGCAGAGTTTGTGAAATTCCTCTTATCTAATGTTTACCTGAAACCAAAAGAGCTAGCATGTCAAAGTCCAGGTGGCCGGGTAGAAGGACGTGTTCTTGTACCGTGGGTGTAGTGCTCTCACAGCGCTGCACTCCAGAGAAACTCTGGGCTGAGGGCCAATAGAACATGGCCGGCTCGGACCCATAAGCGCCCTTTGTCTAAAGCGGTGATGGACAGACAAAGAGCACATGCAGAAGCTCATGAATGCTAATTAGCTACTATTGTTCTGGCCCTTTCTATAAATTGTTGCTACAGACAAACGCTGAATATCAACGAGGGGAGCGGAAGGAGGCCCAAAACCAGCAGCTTGGGCGCCTCGAGGTTCGGGTTGTTCTCTCAAGAGCCTCTGACTATTATGAGGGAAGAGGACAACAACATTACCACAAGCAGTACGTTGAAACTCAGACTAAAGCCCTTTTCACATATGCACAAAGCTTCCTGAAATCTTCAGGGTGAGCTGCGAGCTGTGAACAGCTGAACTTTTCACTCCTTACCTTGAATTTTTTCTGCCAGCCTTAGATACCATTCTTTCGAATGAAGTCAATGTGACAACACATCAAATGAAATCCACTGCAAGTCAGTGGGAGGGGGTGAGGTAGTTGTATCCTGCCACCGGTGCGTGACCAGTCACCTGTATGTTCCTCTCTGCTCTTTTTGTTGCTACGTTGAATATGCCAACTTAGGGTGCCCTCACACTAGGCCCAGTTGTCCCATACAATCGTGCTTAAGCCCCCCTCCCCATTCCCCCGCTGGCCTGCACTCACACTGCTCCAGGACTAACCGGGCCTGAGCACGGTTACCTCTTGTACATAACGCCGTAATACAACACATGAATGGCTTCACATGATCATGAATCATGCTAAATTTACAAGAAATGCAGACTAGTAAAATAAAACAACAACACAGAGAACAAGACAGCGTCTTTACTGACTTCGTGGCTTATTTTGAGTCATTTAGTCAGATACATACAGACATGACACTCCAGGATTTCTCGCTGTCTATGTCATGTACCTGTGCTTGTGCTCGTGCATGAACTGTACTGTGCAGAAAAACACCTCTTCCAATTGTGCCAGGGCCAAGGAAGTGTACCATGGTTGAGCACGGATTGGAGCACTCACACTAGTCAAATGACTTTGGGGGTGAAGCGTGCTGAGGCACGGTACAGATTGCCTTGTGTGAGTGAGCCCTTAAACAAAGCATTTATATAAAGGCATAAGTTATCACCATAACGTTGGATTCTTTTGCCTACTCCGCCATTTCCATGCTGCTTTTTTTTACATCATGTTCTGCCTCATCAGACCCCCCACCCCCATTAACTCCATAGGGATAGCCAACAGCGATTGTGACTTGCATCAACAATCATCAACATGTCTGAGATGTGAACCTTGCAGCATGCAGGAAATGAACGCAATGTTCATGGGAACACCACAAATGTTTGTTTGAGTGTTTACAGTAACTTGGACTGACCGTGTGTAGATGCCGTTCTTGCGGCAGAAGGAGTTCTTCACGGAGAGGCGTCTGTTGTTCAGTTCCAGTGCCGGGAAACGTCCCTCGTCCAGACGCACCATCTCTCCGTGGGTCAGAGGCAGAGCTGTGCAGTTGGAGTGGTTGCCTGGACAGGGGTAGGAGGACGACACTGTGTGGGTTTTGGAATGAAAGAAGTGATTTTTGATCCTCTGTCAGATCAGTTTCAGTCTGGTGGAATATTTAAATACATAATGCAGACAAACTAAGTTACAGAGCTTGGACTTTGATCAAACAGCTGCTTCTGTTACTGAGCAAGTTCTTTAATCAGAACAAAACTGTTTTGACACATCTCCCCTCTGCTGGAATTTAACATAAAACAAAAAACTTTTTTTTACACAGACTTTGGATGCTCTTTCTCCTTAATCCACTGGTCATCACTAAAGAGTACAGTATTGGGCTGAATAGAGCACCTAGAGATTTTCCTGAAGAAAGTGGGATCATGTTTTATTTGGGATCTAGACTTTTAAATGCCAACACACGTTCACAATAACAGACAAATCTGCTCATCTGTACAGCAAGTGTATCCCTCATGACTAATGCGAGCTGTCACTCACACTCACAGTGCCAAGGCGGATCAAATAGGCACGGTAATAGTCACTTAACCCCAGATTGCTCCTGCTGCCTCGTCAGCTGCATTTAAATGTGTATGAAGGGCATTAGTTATAACTGATGGCCAGTAATACATATACATAGCAGCATCTGCCATCAGGGTGTGAATGTTCACAAAAGCAGGTGCTTTTTTTAAAGTCTTTTGTTGCCACTGTGCTAACTTTTTTTAAGCATGTTGTCAAAATTAAATTCAAAATGGGCATATGGTTTTCTCTCTGTTCTCTCTATGTTGCATTTGTGCCATTTTTAATTAAATATGAGGTTTCAGTGTTTTGCAAACATCCCAGTTAGCATCCTAACTTTTTAGGAATTGGGGATATATTAGTTTGATAAGAAGAAAATAACTATCAAGTTGGTCCAGTCCTGACCTTAACCAGTAAAACAAACAGCTAGTAGCAAAGATCAGCTTCATGGCTGAGAAAATTGGGGAGGGGTTAAGAGGGCTAAAGAGGCCCTCTTTGTGTCCCCCCCACACACAGACACAGCCCTTGTCCTCACTGCTCTCACCGAGTCCTGCTTACTGACCCTGCTAACCCTGGCACCATGCTAAAATGCTGACTAAGCTAAAAAGGCAGCAGTATGAGACTTTAGTAAACACAACTCCGTCCATCTTTTCTAATAGCTCCTCCATGCAGCTTGCAGATCAGACCATGACCCAAAAACTTAGCCTCAGTTGCCCTCTGTGTGATTACCTGCCAACCTTAATGTGAAGTATCAACAAGAAGTCCACTAACATTGATGTAGAAGAAAGGAAGGAGATAAAGAGCTTCCAGGAGCAGCAATGTCACCTGGGATACTTCACAATCATGAAAATCGGCTTCTTGATACAGTGCTGTGGTAACATAATTACTCTGTGTCTGACTAATGACCTGAGCATTAAACCGGTGCCAAGCTATTTATCCCGCTATTGATTCTCACTGCAGTTCAACATGAACAATAATGTTTATTCACCTGCCTTGTGCAGCCGTTTCACCGGTAACCTTTACTCTCATCTTTCCCCTGTCACCCAAACAATGTCCAGGAAATCCGGGTCATTTGTCTAATTGTTTGAGCCTTCAGGCGCCCATCTTTCTCAAGCGAGACTCTGGACGTGAAATCCTTAGAAATGCAACTGAAGCAGGGCTGTCCACATGGCTGACAGATTTGAGTGGAGAGCTTAGTTTGAAAAAATGGAAAAAAGGGAACAGGAGCTGTTTGTAAAGCACACAGTCAAGTGTTTTCCATACCTGAATCGGCCTTTTTGGTGTATTTCTTGCTCTGGCCTCGGATGATGAGGATGAAAACAAGGAGGAGAATGAAGATGAGGCCGACCAGAGCTATCACGACCAGGAACCACCACTCCTCATAGAACGGAGACACTTTCTGGGCTGAACGTAGGACATAGAAGAGACATTAATAAATAGAAATCAGGCAAAGTTTTATTTCTAGTCAAAATGTAGCTTTTTTTAAATGTAGTATGAGTACCTGATATAGAAGGGGAGGGGGCGCTGGGTGACCCATAGCCATAGTCGTTGACTGCAATGACTCGAAAGTCATAGGTGACGCCTTCTCGTAGCATTTCCAGATTGAGCGTGTAGGATGTCACTTCTTTGGGAATGTCTTTGATGAGGATGTCCCACAATCCTTCATCTAAAGGCAACATGATGACTTTTAATAAATAGATATTTCAAGAAAACAAAGCTGTAGCTTTTATGAAATGTTGACCTGCAGTATGTGACTCACCGGAGGGTCTGGCCTCTATGACGTATCTTGTGATGGGTGCACGGCCTTGATCGCCGCTCGTCCAGTGCAGTGTGAGGGCAGAGCCATACCGAGAAATGAAGGGTTCCCCAGGAGGGCCAGGTGCTCCTTTAGAAGACAAAAAAAAAAAAGGTGAACGATATGAGAAAATAAAAATGGATGAGTGCTCTAAATGATTCAAAACGTTTTTGGAAAAACAGCCGCCTCACCTTCTCCAGGCCCAGTAGTGATGTTCGCCTCCACCTCCGGGCCATATGTGAGCGTTTTGGCCCGGATTCGGAAGCTGTAGGTGACGCCATCAGCCAGATCTTTGATCTTCATCCACAGGGGGGCACTTCCCTTCACATCTACTGTCACTATCTTACTGACACCTGGAGTGCGAGGAGAGGAGTCTGTACAGAAAACACTAAGACTCTAGATGCTGCTTTCTACAAGCGTCCAAATAGCCAAGCTTTGTGCACAGGACGGACACAGTGTGACACGGTCATATTCACTTCCACAAAGAGTTAGAGGATCATTACAGACACACCCACAGGCTATCACACACACGAAACATCTTTGTATATGACACAAAAAAGCTCTATAACTCCAGCAGCAATCAAGATTTCCAGATAGGAAGAGACACCAAGACCTTTTTTATAATAGACCGACTGATACTGCCTGTCTTTACTGCTCGGCTCGGCTTTGCTCTGGGTCCATTAGAGGGAAGCCCAGGGAGCACAGCAGCCTCAGATCAGCATTCCACCTCTGCTCCCAATTACTTGACAATCTGGTCGAGGGAACCACACTTAGCCAGCTAATAGCCATGTTTCTCTGAGTGAGAGACAGGAAACTGTGCAAAGTCTCACCAGAGCATTCCAGCATATATTTTTTTTTTATCAGCTCTGCCATATATGTAACTGCGGGGCCTTAACTCATCTGTAACAGATTAGAGCATGAGCTTAAGCAGCGTGAGTTAGAAAAAAAGAAGCGAATATGGTAACTAAGCAAGAGGTTGTAAATCAGTGTCAGAGGACGCCAGCTGAGGAATGTCGAGACATGTGCAGAGTTATAAGGCTCCAGGCAAAAGTTTCTCACCATCTACTGGCGTGCAGGGCTCATAAACCAGGCGGTAACCGTCGATGATACCGTTGGCCTGCTTGGGCTCTCCCCAGGACACGTTGACCGAAGTGGTGGTCAACTCGCTGAAATGGATGAAGCTGGGAGCGCTCGGCGCTAAAATGTAAGGAGAGGGAAACAAGAGGTGATGACATAGCTGAGACGAAAACGCTGAGACGAAAACGCTGAGACGAAAACGCTGAGACACGCGCTCAGGTTCTATTCATTATGCAATGTACCGGTTTAAGAACTGGAGAAAATGAATACTGTTTATTTTAAATGTATGTATTGCTTCTTGAGTTTAGGAGGCTGTGTTGGAGTACATATATATATATATATTTCTATCAGTGTAATCATTCTATCTTGAGTGCAGTGCTATGAATCAGGACATTTGATTTGAGCTGCAAGTGCAGAAGGTTGTACAGTCCTGTTTTTACCAGCTCAGAAATATAGCCAAGGTCAAATATTTCATGCAACCCTTCACTGGCTGCCTGTTGATGATAGACTTAATTTAAAGATTTTAATTACTTTTAAGGAACAACATGATCTAACCTCTTCCTATAATTTTGAGCTTTTAACCCCTTATGAACCAGGACACAGTCTGAGATCCTCCTGCAGAGCTCTACTGGCTGTTCCAAAGTCCAGTCTGAAAACTAAAAGGGGACAGGGACTTTAAAACGGCCCGCCAGAGGAGATCAGACTTGCAGAGTGAGTCCCTTGTTTTATTTCTCTACTTAAGAGAAATAAAGCTTTAACTCTGTGATTTCTTTTTTCTTTTTAATCATTTATTCTATTAGTCTGCTTTTATTGTCTGTTTTTCTTACTGCCTGTCTGTTGCTTTTATTGTCTATTGTGAAGCACTTTGTTACCTGTATTGAAAAGTGCAATAAGAATATTATTATTTTCATCATTATTCATTCATTCATTCATGCTCTGCCTACTTAAAACTGCAAAGCTGCAGTGCAACAGCGTCGATGTGCAGTACATATTCATGTCGAGTCAATTGGTGAATTGAAGCCCAAAGCTTGGACACACACAACTTAGAAGACATCAAAACATTATTAAACGTATTCATAACACCTTTCAGCGAGCAATTGAAAGTTTAGCAATATCTATGCTATGCACTCTTTAAGGTCCTCTGGAGTGTTTTCCTTGTGTCACGGTGGTAATTTACAACATCATCGGCTAATAAAGTGCCTTCCATTTGCTCCAAACTCTCAGGAGTTAATTTCACTGGCAGTAAAAATAGCATTGGACGAGTGTAACAAAGCGAAAAACCCCAAAGGTAGGCCTCCTAGTCTGCCGCGAAACAATCGGATGTATTCATGAAAGTATTAAAAAAAAAAGAGGAAAGACGTAATGCTAGATGGCATGAAACAGAAACAGAGATTAAAAGTGAAAGCGGTTTTGTCGTGTATTATCTGAGCTTGAGCAATAAAACATTTTGTGCATGTAGAACAGGTGCTGCGGTGTTTACACTGTTCTGGCAACAGAGTCATTGGAAAGCATTAGTAGAAGCTGGGACAATAGTGTGCAAAATCATTCTGGGACCTTGAAGGAAGAACAAGAGCTGCGATTATTCTGCCTGCTGACCCAACCCAGATATAGCTAAGTGTCAGGATTTTCGCCCCAAATTCTGCATAAAACTCCCAAAAGCTTGTGTTGGCTCACTTCCCCGTGCCCTGTAGAGCAGAGAGCCAAAATTCCTGCCTGTGTTTTTTTTTTTTAATTCTCAGCACTTTGTACCTCTCGCCAATATCACAGCCTTAAAGGGGGGGCGGGTAAGAAAAGAGACATTTCTACTGTAAACCATTTTTTGTGCTGAAACCGCAGAGGAGGGACTCTCGCTTGCTGGTAAACACAGACGTCTTTGTGCAGCGGCGGCCAAAAAGAAAAAAAAAACGAATCTACATTTGTCCCCCCGCACTCTGTATTCATTTCTCCGCGGCTGTCATTAGGCTTCCACCCCCGTGACTTCTCGTGCTGGAGGTGCCAAGAAGACTCTGATCTCTTATGCCATATCTCCCAGGACGGAACTAAACTCTTTAGTGAAAATGTTCCAAAAAATGTTGACAAGGAGGAGCAGCACTGATTTTATTAGTCTTAAAGCCGCAGTGCTTTCACTAACCCAAGTTTGCAGTTTGCAGTTTTTGTGAATCAAGACTCTCAATTATCTCTCACCATACTCTGTGGCTGAATATAGGACTCACCTTGAGATTCTACTTTGCAGAAGCACAATCCAAAAAAAATATGGTTGAATTATAAGACAGAATTTCATAGTGCAGACGACAGGGGAGACAAATGGAGGTCAGACAGAGGGGACAAAAAAAAGAGCTCCAGAAACCGAGACTATGAAATGCAACACGGTGTCAGCAGAAGGTACTAGCTGCAGAATAAATGCCGCAGGTCTTTTTGGATGTCACTTTAGTCTCCTCACTCTTCACATCTGGAGTGAGGAGTAACTCACCAGCTTGCTGAGTGCGCCCTCTGGTGGGCAGGGAGCGGGGTCCATCCCCTGCAGCATTGAAGGCGGCCACACTGATCATGTAGGTGGTGTAGCCGGTCAGGTTTTTGAGCTTCACGCCCAGCTCGGGCAGGAACAGAGTACGCAGACGCTCCGTCTCATTCTGGAGCTGAAACTCCCAGAAATAGATCTAGAAACAGAGTAAAAAGAATTCATGGTGCAGAATGTATATCATTTATTCAAATGAAAGTAAGAAAGGCATGATGTAAGTTGAGCTAATTTGCAGCAACACAGGAAAAGTAGATATTATCGATACCTTGTATCCCTGTATGTCCCCATTCTGAGCATCCAGAGGAGGAGGATCCCACATGACATCCAGCTGTGTGGCTGTGGAGGACTGGATCATCACACTCTGGGGAGGGGATGTTGGGACTAGATGGGGTAGAGTGTAAAAGAAAATATTGAACTTTTTTGTAATGTAATATGATTCATTTCAGAGTCAGGAAATGCAGATTAGTTGACTAATTCCCCGCATTGCACAGTGAGAGAAGAAACGTACCCGCCTCTCCAACAAACACTTCCTGTGGTGCACTGCTGGGACCCTCTCCCACAGCGTTGTACACACTGAGACGGATCTCGTAGCGTTTGTGTTTACTCAAATCTGAAAGGAGAGAACCCACAGCAGCATTGTAATAGAACAGTTAGGATAAAAAGAGCCGAAAGAAGTTACTCCGGAGAGACCACGCAGTCGTAGTGATGCCTGAGGCAAGACGACATCACAAAAAAAAAAAAAAAAAAAAAAAAAACGGCACAGAAAGAGGAACGGGTGGATTTATAACGCAAACTGATGAAAAGATGGGGGTTGTGGTGGGGACACGCGGAAGATTTGTCAGTGATTAAAAAGACAGAGAAAAAAACACAGCGGAATAATGACAGGGCAGCTTGGAGAGATTAAAGTCACACACACATCATAAGAGGCGGTGGCGGCCCCTCAGCGGATGCGGCTGAGTGGGAGGACGGCGCAGCGTGAACTCGCTGTAAACTATCATGCAAGCGGCACATTTTGTATAATACAACAGATCATGTGCATACAGATGGAGAAAAATGGAATAGAAGGGCGGCAGTAGCTCAGTCTGTAGGGACTTGGGTTGGGAACCAGAGTCCCAGTACGGACCAAATCTGGAAGTTGGTCTGGTAGCTGGAGAGTAGCTGGAGAGGTGCCAGATCACTTCCTGAGCACTGCCGAGTTGCCCTTGGGCAAGGCACCAAACCCCCTCTCCACCACCAGCTCAGGAGCGCCCGCTGTGGGCCGCTCCGTCACTCTGACACCTCTCCATTAGTGCATGTCCATAGGATCCTGTTTGTGTATTTCAGCCTATGTGTGTGTTGCATGACTACAGAGTGTAAAAACAGAATTTCCCCTTGTGGGGATCAATAAAGTAAATCTTAATCTTAATCTTAATCTTAAGGGAAGTTTAAGACTTACTATCCAGTTCATATTGGGTGAGAGAGGATTCACTCAGGTTCCTGATGCTGTACGGAGCTGGAGTTTGGATAGAGAATGGGCAGGGTTGGGAAAAGAAAAAAGATAGGATTAGACATAGTTGTTCCTAAAGGAATATCATCATCACCATCTAAATGTATTTAATCCTCAGAAAACACAGTGAGGGGTCAACTTATTGACAATGCTGCTGAGGTACAGAGCATTATAGAACAGATTCTAATAACATCTGCACAGAAGGCTAGGGGGTAGTTTTAATAATAAAAAACAGATAGCAAAGTTCATAATATGAAATGCATATGTTATACTTGAATTAAAACAGCAGCAAAAATTATGCAAGATAATAAAAAAACAGTCAACCCACCTGTGAGATCAGCCCAGTTGTTAGAGGGGCTGTTAACCGTGCGCACTGTGAAGCTGCGTAGCCTGTCGTAGTGTAACTCCCGGAACCGGACCCTGAACCCCAACAGGACTCCATTGATGTGATCCTCAGCAGGAGGCTATGAAGAAGAAAAAGGTGCCGAAATAAGAAGATAAGCAACACAAAAAGAAATGTTCGGCCCGGCCCGAGAAATCGGTGACAATACCTGCCAGCGAACCAGTACAGATGTGGTGGTGTGAGGTGTGACGGACAGGATCGTGGGGGGTTTGTCCGGCGCTGGAAGAGATAAGCAAAGTGTTAGCACACGAGCACGGCTGAGGAGAGTGATATATAATTCAAACAGCCTGGTGGGAGAGTAAACATGCTCACTGTTGATGCAAAGTATTCACTGCAAAAAGCCAAAGTCAAAACATTGGACACAAAGGCATGCTCACACGGTGACCAAAATGTTCACCTCAATAAAGAAATCAGTTGATTTAACTCATTTTAAGATCTTACCATCCTGCAGGGTAGTGATGGCCTCGCTCTCTTGGCTGTATTCACTGTCTCCAATGTCATTGGTGGCTTTTATACGGAACTGGTAAGAAGTGAAAGGCTTTAACCTATAAAGAGTGAGGGGGGGGGTAAGAAGTGTTTTTCATGTTCATTACAGCATGTTCAGACTGTGTGAATAATAATAAAAGCCTCTGACACTAAAAGGAAATAAAAATGAGGACCTTGACATTTACCTGTCCACGATGTACGAGTGTGTCTCATGGCTGACTGAAGCAGAGTGGACGGTCCAGTTGCTGTCTGGCAGCTCTCTGTACTGGACTGTGTAGTAACGAACCGGGGAGAGGCCGTCGCTGCCTGGTTCCCATGACAACAGCACTCTGCGGGCCTGGACTTCCTCTTGAGGCACCACGGGGCGGCTCGTGGGTTGGGGTCGGGCTGAAGGGGAAACACACAGGAACACAAATACAAGTGGTGGTCAGTCTTTAACTTAAAGCTCCTGTGGGAAGATTTTGAACTAGAAATGACAGCGACTGAATTGATAGTGACACTTCTAAATGACCAGCACAAGCTTAATGACCATCAGAGAGACACCTGATTATTTTTATATTGTTCTATGACCCCATGCCGCGGGGTAGGTGTCAGACAGGGATGCATAAGATACATGGTGAGCTACTTAATCCTGTACAGGACAAGACCAGCAAAGAGATCAATCTTCCCCATTTGTTCACGTTGGTTAGAAATTTGACACATTGCAAAAGTTCCTTACTGTAGCTTTAATATTTGGAATTATCAAAATAAAACATGCTTTATTTTGATTAGTTTTTGGGCTTCATTGTAGAGATAGTGCAGACGGATAGAGTAGAAATTAGGGACCCGTGCCGCCCGCTTTGAGGACTACAGCCCCTGTACATGGGATGCAAGCACTCACTCCACTAACCTGGCAGCCCCTAAATAAAATATTTTAGCTGCATTTAAAAAAATGATTACCTCTTTTTTCTGTTGTGACCACCAAAGCCTCCGCAGCCTCCCCCCAACCCTTCCGTGTTTGAGCAGTGAGGCGGAACACATAAACCATTTCTGGCTTCAGTCCAGTCGCTGTGTACTGACGCGCGCTGGGGCTCAGCACGTCGACGGTGGCGGCGTTGCTGTTTGAAGAATTCTTCCTGAATGTGATCTGATAGGCTGAAAAAGGCAAACATATCAATACAAAGCAAAAAAAAAAAAAAATAAACAGCATGAGCCATGATAACAACTCATGTGCTCTACAAGATCAAACGAATATTATGGAGGAATTTGAAGGACATTTTCTTTTTTTTTCCCCCAGACCAGCACTAAAGTTTTGTCTGATGATAGTATCTGAGGTCGTAGATGAAAGTGTGTGTATTCACCCAGGATGATGCCGTTGGGCTGTGCAGGAGGCTGCCAGATGAGTCTGACTGAGGTGGTCCTGACTTCTGGGAAGAGGATGCCAACTGGTGGGCCGGGTACTGTCGCACATAAAAGGACCACAATGAAAAACCAAAGCAAGACACTGAAAATGATCAAGGAAAATATCCATCTTGAAATGCGGGGACACTTTTTTTTCAATTATTAAGAGCAAACAGAGAAGAAGAAAAACACCCTGTGTGAGATGTTTTTCCTTTTCTGATGAGGAGTAATAAGGCGGAACATTGCAATCATTCGCTGAAAAAACACTTTTAACAAGAAAATTCTCAAATCACAAATTGATTCTCAGTGAAATGATCTCAGCACAGGGAAAATAACTTTTTAAATTTGGTTTAGAGACAAACACAATCTCAAAGATAACAACGAGATTGAGCAGGTAGGTTAGAACCAATTTGTTTACCATCATCCAGGGTCCTCTCTAAAATGGAAGGTGTGCTGCTCCTTCCGTCTCCTATCCGCGTGAAGGCGAGGACCTGGATCTCGAACAGGACGTACTTGCCCAGACCGTTCAGCTGGACGCTGTGGCTCGTGTTTCCCTCAACCTCCCAGAAGTTGGGGGCCGTATCCGAGTCTTTCTCCTTATACACCACCTGTATAACACCAGTAACATACTTCTTAGCTGAGTGGATGTTTCTATCCCAGTAAAAATCAGGCAATATTGATACTGTCTTGATATCACAGGAACCTTAAAACTCAATGTTGGGTAATTTTTGTAATGACCAAAAACTGCAAGAAAACACCTACATTCAGTCTAACTTGTACAAAGACATTGGCGTCACACATGGGAAGTTAAGACAGTGCTCTCTCTCTACCTTGCAGCAGCTTTTGGGTGAAAATATGACCTGTAGTTATTTTAAAGTTTTGCTACATTTTGAAACAACTGACAAAAAAAAGAGATTTTTTTCCGTTTCAAAACATTCAGCCTTAAAAAGAATTGAATTATTGAACACTTTGACAAACATCAATAGATAACATTTTCCAATTTTATAAGCAGGATGTTGACCCCTTACCTTGTACCCCAGGATAAGTCCGTTTCGGTCCGTCTCTGGGACTTCCCCCCACCGCACCTGAATGCTGCTGGAGGTGGTGGCGAAGGCGGATACGTTGGCGGGACCACTGGAGGGCACTGTAAAAAAAAAAAAAAATAGTTGAAGGAGAGAGCTCAGCTCACCTCAAACACCCCCGAATGATAAATCATGGCAAGTAGTGTTTGCAGATATTTCCTTCCTCACCTGACTCCCTCGTCCTGCCGTGCACCGGCTGGCTCCGGGGCCCGGATCCGATACCATTGATGGCCTGAACTCTGACCTCATACTCGGTCCACTCCTCCAGGTCCTCAATGGTGAACTCCCTCTCCAACCGATCCATGATGACATGGGAAAGAACTCCGCCTTTCGTCCCAGCTTTGGAATACTGCACCCGGTAGCCAACCAGGTCTGGATTCCCATTGTACTCCCACTCTGGAAGAGGCTGAGAGGTTTTGTTTTGTTTTTTACTCACCCAGTTTGAGCACAATCAATATAAATGACATCATAACTGAGCGCATAATGAAGCAACAAGCGAGGCGAGGTTGTACTTTACAGGGATTTTAACAGCGGGTAAGAGGCACTGACAGGGACGATGAGGAGCAATATGGGAGGAAATGCTGAACCCTCTCAACACTTCAGCTCTGTATTGAGTGGTTTTAACAAAATAAGGTAACCATTGTCAAACAATAATAGCACATCCCTTAATCTGTTTGAGCACATAATCCTTAAATGCAGAGTCAGTAGCTTTTTCCTAAAAAATATAAAATATAGACCTATACTAAAGTAATGGTGCCCAATCATCACCCATGGGCCTCCATACAGGTGTGGTAACTGTGTCACAAAGACCCTGTCCTCTGCCTGATGTTTTGTGTTGTTTTGGTTGACTCGTGAAGTTTCTGGGTGGGGAGTGGAAGTGTTTCCCCCAGCCAATGACAGCACAGGTTAGTTTAGGAATGGTTAGCCATTCAAAGCGGCTAATATGTAAGACGTGGATACAGTGGTATAGAAGAGGAAATTTAATCAAAATGAGGAGAAACTTCACGCAGATAAAGCTTGTTCCAAAACGAGGGTGAACCTGAGGTTGGCTTTCACCCACAGACGTGGAGTTGGCCTACTTTCTGTTGGACAGGCAGGTGACAAACACCAACAGTTAGCTTTTGCCATAGCTTTCTTAATTGTATGTTTTTCCATTACAACAAATGTAATCTGCCTATTCTCAGGTAGCTTGCAGTGTAGGTACAGGAAGTTAACCTTCACGCTTAAGTCCTGCGATGGGGCCAGGAGGAGGGGCCTAATTTGAATGTTGTGTTTACAAGTCTCAATGAACATTTCTTCTTACTCTACCTTTAAATGTTAATATTTCGTTATAAAAACTGGTTCTTGCTATGCAAAGCTTTGCATAAGTAAAGGGTTGGGTGCATCTGTTGTATATGCTGCATATCTAACACCAACATTCATATCTGAGCCTGTGGCAATTTTAGAGTCTGAACAAAAAAATGCTAAAAGTAAACACTGATTTTCTTAATATCCCAAGGTCCCCACTGAGACCATGTTTATTTTGGTAACACTGCCCAGGACTGAGCTGACTGGTTAAACGCTTTTTATACTGTAACTTCATGCTCTTTCAGCCTGCTAGCTAAGACAACAAGTTGACACGCCTCTGACCCCCAGAAGGGCACACACCACTTGGTCAAAGCCGACAGACCTGGAAACCTAAGCCTTAGTTGTTCCTACCAAAGTCACTTTCAAATGTCATCATCATTATTTTTTCCACTCATTGGAAAACTTTGCACATTTTGAGCCACTGCTGTGGTTTAAAGTTTGTCAGCCCTCAGTGGCCCCCCTACTGGCCTGGGGCCCCAAGCAGTTATCGGCCTTGCCTGACAAAGGAGTCCACTAACCTAAATGTGTATTCAGCTTATTTCTATGAAAGTCAAAGAGTTCTTGAAATTAAAGCTCCTGTAATTGGGTTGTGATTTTGTCTTGTCGATTTTGGCGCCCCCTTCGGACAAAGATATATGATTTATTATTTTGCTGATCTTGTCCTGTACATTTATAAGAACGCCTTATCTGATACCTAAACTGTGGCAGTGATGACAGGCACATTAAGTAACTCTTTAGAAATAATCAAGGAATAAGGAATTATCTTCTTACTGATGGTCACTTTTTATTTTGTAGGTCTTGAAGATGCATCAGTATTAATTTAATTCTGTGACATAAACAGGAGCTTTAACATTGCCTTGATGAAAGACATCAGTGACACGGCGATGAAGTGGACCACAAAGTTTGACAACATAATGCAGAGATTTAAAAAACTAGCTGTAATAATGGAGCTATGTGAGTGCAGTATCCCACAGAGCTGACACTCCTCTGCAGATAAGTCCAGGTAACATGCACTTGTTTAAATCCTGCAGGAGCTGCAGGACGACCCTGCCTCTGTCTCTCTCACTTCCTGGCAAAGCGATGATAATGGACAGATGCAGCAAAGAGTACACCGTCCAAATGCTGACGCAGACAGAAGCACTAATCAAGGATTGAGCGCATGCAGCTTTCTAAACATTATCAATGCCATCGCCTGTATTCATCACATAACAGCATGAGAAGGACAGATTTACAGAAATAGCCCGCATTTCACCAACATGGTGATTTGAGTGTTCCAATAGGGAGTCATTTGAGTTTAAGGCAACTCAGTCGTTATTTCTTTTCAAACTTTTATTGTGTAAAAATTTGAATTATTATTGATTGGGAAAATGAAATGGCCTAAATGTTGTTAAGCACATTCTATCTTCTGAATGTTTTTAATTATAATCTCAAGGGTGTATTGCCAGCTGAGCCGCTATGTGATTTTTCATAAAGAATATGAAAAAAAAAAAAAGCAATTTCAAACAGCGTCTAAGCATGCATTCCTAAACCAACAGGGATAAATCTCTGCTTCACCTTCATAACTTTTTGTATCCCTGATTCAGGCCCAGTGTGCAATGCTTCATGACAAACTTACCACCCAGCGCAGCCACAGGCTGGTCTCACTGGCTGTGCGCAGCGTGACATTAGCCGGGGAGATGTCTGGAGGGGCCTGCAGGGTCTCGATCTTCCTGGAGGGCTGGCTTGGCGGACTGGTGCCCACAATGTTTACCTGACGCATTCGAAACCTGGAGCAAGGAAGAAACAGCTGATGCTGGATAAACGAGTCTAAAGGTGGGCGTTTAATCATGATGATACGGGAAAGGATTAGATTACTTTAGATTAGATTAGATGAAACTTTAATGCTGTGCAAATGAAAACTGGGTCATTATAGTGCCAGAGAATATGATTTATCTTATGAGGAGAGAACAGAGAAGATAAATGTTAAGAAAGCAACACATCCTAGATAACAGTTTAATTGATTCTTTAAGATCAAAGATAATCAGTAATAACTTTAGAGGAGAGAGGATTTTTCACTTCTTTTTTTAAAGACTGCTGTGCAGGATTTTGTCCTCATTTCACCTGTATATATGTGTGTGTTTATGTGTGTGTGTGTGTGTGCTTACCTGTAGAAAGTATATGGGTTCAAGTCCAGCACCTCCAGTGATCTAGCATCAGGTTCATTAGTCATCTGGTGAACCATCAGCCACTCTTCATTCTCTCCGATTATACCAATCTGAAATGCACATGGGAAATAGATGTAAAGCAGCAGAGTAAAATAACATACATTAACAGGTATTGAAAAACGTTCAAACCAGTACTGACATATTTTAAAGCTTGACAGAAAAACATACAATCAAGTATAAAGGGTGAGACTTACCTGCGCTTCAACCAGCCATAGGGAAATGGATGTTTTGCCATCATAACCTGGTTTGAACTGCAGTGTGACTGAGCGAGGGCCGATGTTGGAGATAGCTAAATTAGTCGGAGGACCAGGCAGCTCTGCGGTGGAGGAATGAGAGGAGACACTTAAGAAAAAAAAAAAACATCCAATTATCAGCACTTTCAGAAATAGAGGAGTAGAAATCAGTGGAGGCAGACTGCAGCACTTGAGTGGATACTTGGAAGTACTTATAAATGTTCTGCTAAAAGTCAAACAGCTAATCTCCTCATTTTAACAACTGACCTGGTGGTACACCCGAGGAGATGGTGGATGCGGAGAGCAGGCCCTGGCCCTTTGCGGTCATGGCTGCCACCTGGATGGTGTAAGTGGTCAAGGCAGTGAGCCCTGTCACCTTGTACTCCTGAGTTAAGTTGGGTAAATAATGGGTCACTCGAGTATTGGTCCTGTTGAACTCCTCCCAGGAGATCCGATAGCCTGGAAGAAGTGTCACATAGTGAGCTCTCGTTTAGTCAACACATGCTGGGGGGACTTCTAAATTGGTAGAGGCAGAGAGGACTCGTTAATGATACATAGTTAGATTTTAATGGTCACCTGTGAGAACGCCGTTTTTCTCCTGCGGCTCCTTCCAGCTGACTTTTAGTGAGGTGTCCAAGATGTCAGTGAAGCTGAGGTGTCCCACAGCACCAGGGGCTGTAAAAAAAGAATAAAAAATCAGGCAACTAAACCAACAGCCTGACGTGTAATTATCTGCAAAAACTTTATAATATCCTGAATGGGAACACTTACTATCCTCATGGGTGCGCGAGCGCTGCGGCGGGCTGCGTGGGCCGTCTCCAGGGGTGGTGAAGCACAGCACTGACGTGTAGTATTCTGTGAACCTTTTCAGGCCGGAGACGTAGCCCACGTGGACACTGTCCTGGAAGTTGGGACGCACTGTTACCACGGTGACATCATTTGCTCTTCCAGGTTCCCACGCCAAAAGCTGAAAAAAAAAAAAAGATGCAATAAAAGACAAATGTATCCATTTGTAGATTTTAGTTCCAGAAAAACAACCAAGGACACTAAGAGATGCCAAGATTTACTTTCATGGAGTAAACTCGTCATGAAACTGTGAACATCTGTCAGGTTCATGATATATTGAGAGACTTCGGCTTTTAGAGTCATCAATCTGACAACATAATGAGACTTGGCCAACACAGTGCTAATCTGCCTCCGGCCACTAGAGAGCACCGGTGGACAGAAAGGGGCTGCTCACCTTGTATCCCTGGTTGATTCCATTGATAAACTGAGGACTCGGGGCACTCCAGGTAAATCGCACCGTGGTGGAGTTGACAGCCTCGACTTGTACATTTCCTGGTGGCACAGTGGGCACTGATCCAGAGGAAGAAGAAAACGGAGACAGGGGAAAAATAAAGAGGTGGGGGAGGGAAAAGCAGAAAAGCAAAGGGAGTGAGGAAAGAAGAGAATAGTGATGAGATAGGGAAGGGAATAACTTGAAAATGTACAACAGGCATTTGCAGACCAGAGCGTGAGAATCAGGCTGAAGTTATTTATTTGATTTTTTTTTGAGGGGGGGCTCATTTGGGGAGGTAAGAACATGCCAATCAAACCGGGTGTGAGAGCGGTTGCCTCAGGCAGCTTCCAGGTGAACCCTGCAGCAGTTTGTTTGAAGTGAGCGTGCGATTCTGATGTAACAGAGGAAAAACAGTCGGGCAGTCCCGCTTTAATGGAGCTGATTGGCCAGTATTGGTCCTCTCATCCTTATGCTATCCGGCATTCTCTTTGAATGGATTTGAATTCGGAACATGATCTGCTCTTTTGCATTTAATGGAGTGAGTGACGGAAACATGCAATTAATGAGAGCCGAGCTACACAGCATGGCCGACTTGTTTCCTGTCTGTTTTCACTGACACAGACCTGGATGATGAAATTATTGTCTTTTAATTTTTTGGAACCAAGGTCAGGATGCCAAACCTTCCAGCTGTCGAGGTTTTTTTTTTCAAAGTTTTTAGCTGTGCATACAAAACACAGCAAGCTTGTTGTTTGTTTACCACTGCGGTACATTGGTTCATTTGTAGATACATACTCGAGTCTTTGATCAAGCGACTGATCAGGATTCACAAAACGTATGCAGAAGGATCCAAGATTTTAACGATAACCTGTGCCAGAAATAATCCATCAAGCTATCCTGAAGCATTTCAAGTGTTTTATAACCATCCAGCCAATGAAAGCGACAGAAATTGAAGGCATATTTTTTTAACACACATATGAATAAATAAGAACGGTGAATCAGTGACATCATCAGGAGCACTTTTCTGTGTTTGCATGCATAGCAAGGGAAGGGGCCCCTGTGAGGTATCAGTAAATGGTAAATGGATTTGAGCAGAGTCTGACTACTCACAGCAGTTTTCCTCACAGGTCACACCTACCCGTTCACACCCATGGCAGATTGGCAGACTGATGATTGCTATGCAAAGTAACAACCAGAAGCAACTAATCCCATTCAGACACATTCACCTACGTCTACCAAGCAATTTGGGGTGAAGTGTCTTGCCCAATTGGACATGTGGCTGCAGGAGCTGGGGATCGCACCCCCAACCTTCTGGTTAAGAGATGACCGACTCTACCAACTGAGTCACAGCTGTTGGTATAAAAGTGATCTGTGGTACCCAACATTTTCTGTCTATTTTCTCAAATTGTTTGTCCCTATTCATTATTTGAGACCTAATAATACCAAAAGCAATATAAATAAATGAACACTTAATGACTTTGTTAGTGTACATGTGATCCATTAATCAATTTAAAGGGCATTACAAATGATAGAGACCCGTTGTTGTCTCTCTGTGTTGTATTATTTTACAGCTTATTTTGAGGCTTTTTGTGTCCTTATTGTAGCGATAGGACAGTGGATAGAGTCAGAAATCAGGTAGAGAGAGAGGGAAATGACATGGGGGAAAGGAGCCACAGGTCAGATTCAAACCAGGGCCGCCCGCTCGGAGGGCTAAAGACCCTGTACATGGTGTGCAAGCATTAACCTCTCTGCTTCTGGTGCCCTGTCCTTTTTTGTATTTTGCCTGTTATACCCTCCTCTTTCAGAAATGGGTTTTTACATTACAGTGGGACGTCTTAGTCATACAAAGGTAAAATGTAATTAAAGTGTCGCAGGCAGATATAAGGAATCATGAACACCTGCGAAACCTAATTAAATCAAAATATCTGCTGATTCACCCCCTCTAATGGCTGTATGCGAGCAGGGAGTGGAACAGAATAGGAAATGGAAACACTCCCCAATTTTCCTGTGAGTGCTCTTGAGAATATTTAGGGAGTCTGTCGCTGAGGGTCTCTGTTCATGGAGTGGATTTTACATGACAGGGATTCAGAGATATGTGAGTGTGTTAAGCCTCTCAAAGCTTTATGTACAAGTTAAAGGAATTTCAAATCAAACTGGAAGCCAGCACAGCATATCTTAAACCAGGAGCCACATCCCTTTTTTTTTTTCCTTGTGTTTGTTAAAAGTCGAGCAGCTGCAGCAGCAGCAATTCTCCCTCGCTGTAATCTATGAATTGACTTTCTAGGAAAGCCAGGAAAGAGAGCTTCATTCAGTATTCTTGTGATAAAAAAACATGGATTAACTTTTCAACGTCCTCATGCATTAACAAAAGCTTACATAGGCTTTAATTCTTAATGACAAATAGCATTTTAATGTGCTGTTTTAAGGTGCAGTCACATTGTCAAAATCACACGTTCTTCATTTTCCTCTGAAGAGATTCTGAAGCTGTGTTCTCTTTTGAGTTTTGGTGCAAATGGTTCTCTCAGATTCGCTTTAGTATGCTTCCACAGTATCAAAATGTGACTCTCGCCCTCTGAAGACGTTGAATAGACGGGGAATTTGAATAGACAGGCGTGCAAGGAACATAAGGTGTCGGAATCAACAGCCGTGACAGAAATAACGTAGCTGTATGACACCCGGGAAAGTTCACAATGTGTGTTCTAATTATTCTACTCAGCATGTTCAATGAGAAGAGAAGTCAAGCGAGGCAGCTTCCTTTTGGCAGGGAACAGTGGAAGGTATGTAGAAAGTCAGACGCACATCATCACCTGGTAGTATACATGCACGATTGATAAAAAAAAAAAAAAACATGCTTCTTGAGGGTCGACAGACATCTCCAGGTGGTCAAAACAGGATCAAAATATGTGTTTTTGTTGAAAGGCCGCAGCTGGAAAAGATAAAGCTTTGAGGAGAGACTGCTTTTTTATCAATATAAAAACAAATCTAATGCTATGACATGATGCAGCAAAAATCTGAAGAATAAAGTGATGTTCTCAGATCCAAAGTAAAAGCCTCTAGAGGAGTTTATAAAAAAAAAAACAGGCTGTTGGGAGGCATTCAGCTCATTCCTCCACACGATTTGTTCTGCTGTACTGCAGCACTTATTGCGAAAATTAACTACACTGAACCTGACAAAAACAAACAAGGAGTGGTGTTTGGCGGAGAGCACTTAGACGGCCTTGCCTTCCTTTACATTTCTGTGAAAGCTTTTTCTGCCAGAGTCTAAACTCACTGCTGACAACTTGTATGAATCCTCGTTTTTTCAAGGTGGGCGAAATAAAGCATGACTTTTACATCTTTTAATTTGATATTTAAAAAAAGAGATGATTGGATTAACAGTCGCGAGGCTCGACATTAGCGGAGGCACTGAGATGATGAGGCTGCAGGTGATAAATGGAACTTGTTAAATCTGATAAACTTTTATCTAATAGCCTGAAGATTGCAGACATTCTTAAAGTTGAGTATTGCTGCTTGGGGTTTGCTGGCAGGCTCCCTTGGGGGGATACACAGTTTTGCAGTATGACGATGCACACCCTCTGTTGTGTTGCCCTCACCTCCCTGCAGTGTCCATTCGGTGACTTTATGGCTGTAGGTGCCCCGGCCTGCTCCGTTGTAAGCTGCCACCTCGATCTCGTAGTTGGTCCAGATGATGAGGTCCTCCAGGAGTAGGCTGGTCTGGTCCGGGTTGGTGATGTTTTTCATCTGACAATCAACAGGAAGCCCCGACAGACAGTACCTGGCAGCAGAGGGAGGAATCAATATACAAAGGGAGGGAGAGACAGATATGAATATGACAAATTCTCTGTGGGGGGAATTTTAACAGAAGAGAAGCCATGCAGAGAGGTTATGAAATGGTAACTAAAAGAGAGGTGACAACAGATGAATGGAGAGGAAGGTATTTAATTGGCACCAATTATTCTATCGCAGTAGAGAGCGAGAACGAAGTGAAATGGAGAGGAAGAAAAGGAGCCTCCATAGCAGTTTTTGTCACTTGTGAATGGCTCTCGCCCAGACAGGCACCCATCCCTGGGTAGGAATTAGGCAGGTTGTCACGGTCTTCTTACCTGATGATGTAGCCTTGGAGCGGACCATTCTGATGGCTCTCCAGGGGTGGCTGCCACTGGATCATGATGGACTGATTGGTGCGGCCACTCGCAATGACTGTCTGAGGGGGGGCGCTGGGGGGCTCTTCGGGGAGAGTCAGTCTGCAAACAGCGAGGGAGGAGGGCAGAAAAAAAACAGAGGTGAAATAAGAGACAAGAACACAAGCATGCATTAATTATTGTGAGTTTCTGCATATTTCTATCCCATTTCATCATAGACATCAAATCATAACACAGCTGTACTTCTTTTTTTTAAAAGAAACACCATGAAGGAAAGTTGGGATGAGGGTGGCTGTGTCTTTGTCCGAAACATATCCTCTATACTGCTGTCCGCAGAGGGACGTCTCGCAGTGGCATGACAAGGATCAAAGAGGCCTTGGTGAAGATGCGAGCAGCACAAAGCGAAGACAGAGGGTGAGGGAAAGATATAAAAGAACAAGAAAGAGCGATCCAGGCAGACTTTTCCCTTAAGTCAATTTAAGATGACATCTTGATTTCTTCCCAGTCCACCGGAGCACTGCTCTGGAGGAGATGAAGCAGAGTGTTTAGGATCAAAGAGGTGTGCCCGAGAGATGCCTTTAGAAAAGCCCGGCACTCTCTCTCTCTCTCTCTCTCTCTCTCTCTCTCTGACGCTTAGTCACCCTCCTGCAGTGCACTCTTGTCTGGGAAACATTAACACACACACGACTACAGCTCCTGTGAATGAGCGTGTGGTGCAGGAGGTGCGTGGTGACTTCCTGCAGGTTCAATAGCTGCGATGATTGTGTTGATGTGGACAAGGTCAAACAGCGTGTATGTGTAGGTGTATTGTGATAAGTTCAAAACATGTGTGTGTGTCTATGTGTGTTTGCGAGTATGTGTAGACGCAGTGTGAATGAGTGTGGCAGTTGCGTCCTGCTTGTCAGGAGAATTTACTTGAGATTGGAGTCTGTGTGTGCAGCTCCGGCTCTTATAAGCCTCTCTGTATTTCACTCATGAAGTACCAGCCAAAGACAGTTAATAGAAGGGGAGAGAAATGAAGTTGGGTCAGCACACCCATCAAGTCTTCACAAAGCACAATTTCAGCTCATTCACAGCTTTATCTTAAAAAAGGCCCGTCCCAAAGCCGCTTCATCTTTCACAGGAGTGAGGACCAAAAAGTGGACTTACAGGAAATAATCACAGGGTTTTCTATTGAACTGCCAAGACGATGGGGGTGGGGGGGGGTGGGGTGGGATGCAGGGAGAACGGGTTGTTCTAGAACTGTGAAAGCCCTCAAAGTGCAAAGCTGTTCTCACCGCCAGCGTCAACACGACGTTACACAGACACACAGCAGCATATTTAATATGCAGAGGATGCAGAAGAACTGCTAATATGCAGCACCAACCGGTCAGTTTCTTTGCTGAACTGGCCTCTGCCCACGTCGTTGATGGCACACAGCCGGAACTGGTACGAGCGTGCTGGGATCAGGCCACCGACAGTCACCCCGGTGGACTCCGGTTCAATATTGGCCAGCAGCACCGTCCAAGGGGCATCTGAGGTGGAGAAAACAGACGGCGCTGTGAGGCACGGCGAGTGAACGGTGAATGACCTTGCAAGAGCATTTACATTCCTGAGGAAAATATCTCCTCAGCGAAACTTTGATTTGAGTTCAGTGTTATCCCGGACTATTATTGCACACTGTTTGCTCATTTTCAATAATAATATTGCGGCTACTGATAAAAAAACAAGTCATTTATTTTGTGTACACTCCCTCTAAAGATCAGATTGAAATTCAATTATCCAGAAAAAGCAGATCCCATCTGCATCTTCGGATTCATTTTCCCCTTAATGAGTTGTCATCCTCTCAGTTAGCCTGAGCTTCGATGAGAAACGGCTGAACGATTTACTCTCCGTGGGTGAGAGTGTTTCCGACTTGCTTTGATTTTTATCAGCCAGAGGAAGTGGAGAAGAAGCATCGGGCATCAACACAATTTTACCTCCCCTGATCACTCCCAAGCAAAGGCAACTGTGTTTTAATGATTGCAGAAGGTAAGAGGGGACTGTGCAGCCAATTTAAGGACACAATGGAAATATATATTACAGTAACAAGGCTGGCAAATACAAGCTTTCGGGGGAGTATGAAGGAACAATATTACCTTTAAAAAGGGAAGAAACAACAGCAACACGCATTGTTTATGACCTCTACTCACTGTTTTCTGAGACCTCCAGGATGTAGCGGATCAGGGGGCTGTTACCGTCAAAAGCCTGGGCCCATGTAAGGTTGATGGCCCTCTTCTCTGTGGTGCTCAGAACTGCTATTGGGTTTTCTGGAGCATGTGGCAGCTGCCTATATTGACATATGTGTGTACGAGGGAAGGGGGAAAAAGTGATAAAGAGAAATAAAATCAGACAAGAGAAGCGGCAAATAACAGAATTAAAGAGCCAAAGCGAGGGCCTTGCATTGTAAATATTCGAACATTTGATGGATTAGAGAGGAGAGGAGCGATAAAGCACCACAGCGGAGAAAACATCCATCCATCATGTCCCCATCAGACGTAAATAAGAGGGAGGAAAAAAATACAGGAGGGAAGATAAAACAAGGGGAGACATGAAACAAGCAAAAAAAAATAAAAAATACAGACCTGACTCTGAGGTGGGCGCTACGGAGTCATTGCCGCCGACTGAGGTCACCCTGCAGGTGTATGTTCCGATGTCACCCGACCACGTTTGGGAGATGTGTAAGGTCCCGTCGGGATCCAGCCGCAGGCGGGGCGAGCTGTTCACGTCGATCACCGAGCTGCTTTTCTCCCACACATACCTAGAGGTGTGAACAAAGAGCGGTACACAAACACACGCGCGTACACATTTGAATGATGTGTGTGTGTGTGTGTGAGTGTTGTGACAGTTTTTTTTTTTGTGTCAGGTCATACAGCAGAACACAGAGAGGCGCTGACACCGATCAAAAGCCTCGGAAGTCTGATGGTGAAGTGATTTGAATCTGAACACCATCTCGCTCTGTCACACATACAGTACTCCACCTTTCCCTGCATGCATTCCTCTACTTGTCACATACCCAACAGCACATATGGAACCCCCCCCCCCCCCACTCCCTCCTGCACCCAGCCCCACACACATGCACACACAAGGAGCGCCTGTGATTAATTGCGACTGTTCGGGCTTTCCAGCTAATCTCCTCTGTGTTGCGTTTAATTAAAGGCGCTGTCTGAAGTTATTACTCTGTTTACATATTCATCTGTTTACCCCGCGATCTGATCAATGCCGCGGGCCCACAGGTGACAGGCACTCTAATCACTGGGCTCCACAGACATCATTCGGCTCCCTCTGAGACAGATGCATGTATACGCACTCTATCATGCTCAAGACGGTCTGAAGAGTGAGGGGGAACGTGATGGACTAATTCCTCAATCAGGCTCTCTAAGAGTTTCAAAATCTTCCCATAGGAGGTCGTCTAAGGGTGGATAAACACCGCAAGATCGCTTGCAGATTTCATAAACTAATTAAGCACGACAAGATAGCCGAGCTTGTTTCCTAAGCCGGGGTTGCATCAAGAAATAGTTGCAAAAGAAAAGTCAGACATTTATCGAAATTGTATGTGATTTAAAAAAAAAAGAAAAAACACCATAATTGCGGGAGATTTTGAAGCTGATGTCATCATTACCTGATAGTCACACTAGGATCGTGGGTCACGCCGCAGGTCATAACAGCCTTGGTCCCTTTGATGACACTTTGGTCCTGCGGGGGTTTAGTGATGCGGGTTCGTGCTGCGAACACACACAGAGGTTGTTATTCAAGAGACTGTGTTTGAACAGCGGATTGAACAGAGCTTACTTCCTGGACTCAGTCTCGTCCTTCACTCAACGTCTTTTCTGAGAGACGGTGAATCATACAGGATTTTTCTGACGGGTGCAGTATTAGGCTTTTAGGGACTGATTATATGAATTTATGCAGTAAAAAAAATAAGCACATGGATGAGTCATTAGACCATAGACGGAATATCTCGATAATGACCTCCAGAATCCAAGCATTTTCAAGTAAACAAGTCAGGCATTTAAAAAAAAAAGGAGGACATTTCATTTTATTATTTTTATATTTTCCCAAACAGCTGGGACTCAGAATTGTGGGAGTATTTTTCACTGGACAAGTGAGGAAATGTAGACACAAGCAGAACAAACATCATAAATGATGTGCAGAGAGTTTCTGTTTCTTCTCACCCCAGACAACCAGTCGGAGGAAGCCTCGTCGATGCCCCTGGAGTTACTGGCCATGCAGGTGTAGGTACCGGCGTCGGAAAGGTGGGAGGGGCTGATTAGCAAGCTGCCCGACTCCAACAGGGTAAACCTGGGCAGCTGGACCGAGCCGCTGGCCAAGACACGCTCACCTGCAGGGAAGGGGCGTGGGTGATTTATGGTATGGCATGGAGGACGGGGGGGGGGGGGGAACAAGGTGAAGGAGGGAATTAGGGTTATTGGAGAAATGTCATGGAAAAACAAACAGCAGGGAAAGTGATGCAAGCAAAAGTAGCTTGTTTGGATGAAGTAAATATTCTGAATCCTATCCATAACTCTTTTCTAGCTTTGACAACGCGGCATAATGAGCACCATGCTGTTTGCCAAACGCACCTTTCTGCCAGGTGATGGCTGGCCTTGGGGCTCCTGAGGTCTCACAATGCAGGATGACTGACATGCTGTCAATCACGGCGCTGTCAGAGGGGCCAGCGGTGATGTTTGGAGCGATACCTGTAAGGGGAAGGTTCAGTCACGCGCGCGCACACACACACACACACACACACACACACACACACACACAGGAACACACACACATGCAAACAAAATGAGGTGAGACAGAGGTGATAATGAGGGACATAAACAGCTTTCTCCCTAACAAAGCAGACGGCAGCTGAGAGCTTAATAGACTTGACAAAAAGGGGCGGCTGTCAGGTCTCATTCTCGGGGACAGCTCTGAGAGTCTGACAGGGCGCCCCCGTCTCTCTGCGTCTCCTGCTCATACTCTGATTCAAAAATAGCCGATAATTGCCCGAGCATCCAAGGTGACAAATCTGTCAATGCGGAGAGATATAAAGATAGATGGGTGTAGGAGGCAAGACAGAGAGAGGCAGAAAAGAGGATTAGGGAACGAGAACAGTGAAGCGGATTTAAGAATAAAAAAAGCAGGCAGGGAACAGAGAGGGAAAGATGAGCAGAATTAAGCAGCAGGCGTGTAGATGGTTTTGACATTTTTCCAAGGGGACGTACTAGTAACAGCAAGGTAGGTGTTTGTCTGGATCTCCCCTGCGAGATTACGGGCAAAGCACTGAAACATCCCTGTGTCATCCGGCAGGAGGCCGTTGATCTGCAGACTGCCTCCTACCAACACCCTGTACCTGGGGATCTTCACCGGGCTGATGGGCACGGCATCTTTGTACCACACTATGTCTGGCTGCGGTGTGCCTGCAGAGGAAAGAGAGAGGATTAATTTCTTCCCTTGTCACAGTGACCCCACCTTTTTTATCTTCTTCCTGCTCTTTCACACACACGATAGTAGAAAGAAAAACAAACACGGCTCACCTCTCGCCTGACAGGGGATATCCACAACCTTCTCCATCTCTGCGCTGATGTGACTCGGCGGCTCTTTGACAAACAGAGGATACTCTATTGTGTAAAAGAAAAAAAAAAAACAGCGCTCAATAAAAATCTTTAAAAACAACTCACAAATCATCTGAGTTTTTTTTTCTTTGTAACTTGGCCCTTCTCTAAAAAAACGAGCACGGATCACAACATCTCTTCAATTACAGTAGTCTAAAATGGCAACAAAATGTTCTCTGGGAGAACATGGGAGTTAACAAGCTGATGCAATATTTGGATGATTTGGGCCCAGCTGCTGTGTGGAGCTTCAAATGCAAACCGTGGGTTATTTACCAAGAACATGCAGAAAAGCCCCGGCAGTGACTGAGGGGACGCTGCTGCTGCGGAGAGAAGCCTCGCACTCGTAGTAGCCGCTGTCACTGACCGCAGGCAAACTGATCACCAACCTACGGCCGAAATCTCGGATCCCTGTATTGACCACTGCGCCGTCTTTCCTCCAAGTAATATTCATCTTGACAAGGGGCCTGAAGGAGGAGGAGAAGGAAAAAAAAACATGAAAAGGAGAAAAAGAGAGCAATAGATAGTGAGGCGTCTGGTTTTTAATACTGATTCATATTCTGTTTCAAGGTTACAGAGCATTGGGGGAGCGATGCGATACATCTGTCAGTCTGATTAAGTCTTTGAATTGGAGATAATAGTCAGAATTCAAGACCGGGATGGCGCAAGATCGGGAGAAAAGAGTGAAGTCTTGAATCAAAGCGAAGAATGAAGCTGAGGTGTGAAAATAAAGGACGAACAAAATACTTTTCTATCATGTTCAAACAAAAGATGTCCGGATTCATTCAAATGAAAAAATACCAGACGGCGAGGGGAGAGATGGCGGGGTTTGTTTTGATAATTTGCGCATTCATGACTAAATCCTCTGAATCCGTGTGTGTCTGTGGGAAATATTACCTTGCATTTGCAACGCACTCCATGATCGCCTCGTTCCTGCCCATTGTTACGCTTGTGTTCTTGGGGGGGATGATGATAGACGGGGCGATGGGGTCCGCAGGTCCTCCCACATCTATCACGCACACGAGGCAGACAGAAAGAAAAGTGAAAAATCTATAAACTCTATGCACACCTTAGATTAAGCCCGTGCATGTGTGCCTGATACAGCCAGTTGAGTATGAGCAGATCTGTACATGGAGGCTGACAATCTGTCACTATCACCAGCAGGTAGCCAGCATGCTATCAGCCAACTATTAACACCCCTGTCTTTACTTTGGATCCTTTTTCTAGTGCACACAGCTTTTCCTGAGCACAGTGTTAGCCCAGGTGTTAGAAGCCATTATGTAGCATAATTGAGACAAACACAAAAGGCGATTAAATGCAGCACCATCACTCACGGGTTTCACGGAGCCTCCAGCCAGCCATCGATTCACTGCCCTCAATCAGTGATCTCTCTCTGAATCTGATCTCATTTTCCCCCACCTCCCCTGTGTACGGGTACCAGAGCCTGTGTGCGTCAATGTGTGTTGACTGATTGTGCGCCTATACAGTGTCTTGTAATTGTGCGTATGAAGTCCCAATTTTTTTTTTTTTCAGAGCTACCCAAGATTAATAAGGGTCCTAATCCAGTTTTTAGAATCACTTCTTATTTTGTGCTACATCATTGTAAATCCCACCCTATGAAGGCAATTTTTTTGTGTGGGGATCTCAGCAGAGCAATGACAAAGCTTCCTCTACAAACACAACTTGAATGTGGGGCAGCCCTCCTCATGGGTAATTGTTCGGTTCTGCTCCCTATTTCATTGCTTCATTCAGATATCTCGTTCTTTGGCTGATTTCAGTGGCACACCATAAAAACAAAAACAAATTCAATCCAGTAAATTAAAGAAGTTGCAATACAAATACTTAAAATGTTTTTTTTAAAGCTCCTGTGCCAAACTTCTAATGTGTGGTGATTCTGGCGCCCCTTGTGGACAAAGTGGTCTTTGCTAATTTTATCTTGTACATGTGTAGGTAATAAAATGTTTCTCCAAACATATCACATATCGTTCATTCTTCTAATTTTCAAAAACATAAATCTTTCCTGGGCAAAATGTAACAAAAGCCATTTTCGGCAGGGTGCTTATTTTGACACCGACCCCTTGACAGGAGCAACAGGCATGTAAAAAAAAAAATGATGCATTAAAAAAAGGAATCTTATCTCTGAAGGTCACTTTTTTCCTCTTGTAGCTCATAAAGAGACATCACTAATTTCAGTCTGTTTCATTACCAGTCTGAAAGTCCTCACAGGAGCTTTAAGTTTTGAAATCAGTTCAGATGTTGAACAGACAAGTGATGTTTTCACCCATACACAGAACTCCTTGAAAAATGTCCCAACATTTCTGGGGTTGACTCAAACTGCAACTTTACCTGCCAGCCTCAAAGCCAAATTTTGGTGCGTGAAGTCTAGGTGAGCATTTGTGAATGCAGCAAGAAATATCCAGGAAATTCACAGAGCATTTAAGTTATGCTTCTAGTGAATGACCAGTGCGAGCGTTTGTGAATAAAGTGAAGCTGTGAATACCTCCAAAAACAGTTAGCATTGATATCAAGACAAAAACTATCTTATATCTTCATAGGGTCAGGGACACTGTTTGCTTCGTCTGCCATTTCTGCACATCCTGCCTCCTGAGACAGCCCCCGCCCGACAAGGAAAGCCCATTGTTGTTAGGTGTTATGTGAAAATGAGAGACAGCCTAAGATGATTCAAACACTATTACCTATGACTGTGCAGCTTAATGCACAAATAGTTAAACAAAGCAAAAGAAAAAACGTCATATTAAACTGCTGCTGACATTTACGAGAACATTTAGCGAATGCATTTAACATTTTAGAGGTACATTTTAATTAACCTTGATGCATTCAGAATACCTCCACACAGATTGAAAAGATGATTCTGTACAGTAGCCTGAAGAGTATAAAACGGCTACATTTAAATGATGGACCCTGACCTGTGAAGGCTTTTCACGGTGTTCAGTAGTTTTGAAGTGAGGAATCTGAAAGGTTGGACTCCACTGACGAACAGCAAAACGTGTCCTTTCAAAGAGATGCGCTCTATTTTCAAAAACATGTGTGGAAGCAGACGATGTGCCAATTGACTGACGCGATGCTTTGGCTGATGAAAAGCTTTAAGAATCCTACTAGACCTCTCGATTAATCCATTTCATCACGGTTTGTGCGAGCATCTTGAGGGCATTATTGACATGATCATCAATTAGCATAGTGAATAACAATAAATCAGAGGAAAACGGCTTCCTGTCAAGCTTTTAGAAGAACCGGAAAAATAAAAAAATGAAGAAATCAAACGGGCTTCGATAGGGTCCAAAAGGATTGGGAGGAAAAAAAACGTAATCACTTGGAATCAGAAGGTATTGGCTCAAATGAAAGATCACAGGCTGACCTGTGATGTAATTTGTGTTGCCTCATTAACATGAGATTATGCAGGAGAGTTTGATCGGCGTAAGTCTTGTGGTCTCTAAGCTTCTGATTTAATGGAGACAAAGCAGACCGAGAGAGAGGAGAAGAATTGATAGGTGAAGGCCGGAGACGGAGAATTCTATTAACAACAATGTTCAACTTCTACAAACATGAGGAAGAGATAAAAAAAGCCCTTATCAGACTGTACGTCCCTGTGACTTTTCCGCTTCACTGTGAATGTCTCAGAGGTGTAATGTATGGACAGAGTGGTTCTACTTCTGAAACACCTTCTGAAGTAGCGACAGGCGTTACAGGGGCGTGATGGGATCGGCTGTGGGGCAGCGGGGCAAACAGCACTGTGCGTGTGTGTGCATGTGCATGTACAGCTCCTGCTGTTTCCCTTCACGTCGTGCTTCCTCATCATGTAACCATATGCAAATTCACAGTCTGGGACACCAGCATTACGTCGTTCCAGAATCACAATATGAATGTACATAGATGTAATGTACATGTACAGATGCATGCTGAAACGGGCCAAAGATAAGATGAAAGTGCCATGAACAGCACATCATATATACATAATATGTGGATTTATTGATTTGAATTGGTGCAGTGGTTATTTCTGCTGCCTCTCAGTAAGAAGCTCCTTGTCTGAATCTCTAGTCAGACTTAGTTTCCTGGAAATCCGGGGAAATTCCCCCCAACAATCCAAAGTCATGCTCATTAGCTTAATTGGTGACTCTAAGTTGTCCATAGGTGTGAGTGTGACAGGTTGTTTGTCTCTATATGTCAGTCCTCTGATCGAGTATCGACCTGTCCAGGTTGTACCCCCGCCTCTCGCCCACTGACAGCTCAGATCACCTTCAGCCCCCCCACCCCCCACCCCACCAACATCCTGCACGGGACAAGCACTATAAATAATGGATGGATTGTTGCTGCAATTTTTGTGAAATCCGTCCTTGTAAAGAAAGTCTTGATAATCCCTTAAAACCTCTTCAAGATGTACAAGATGTTCTTGTGCTAACATAACAAACAAAACTTATCATGTTTTTTTGGTGTTATTTAAAGTTCTTCAAGTATTTTTTTTTCCAATTCCACAACATTCTTCTTTGCCAATAACACAATGAGAAGGGGGGAATCCATTCGACTAGTCGCACAACTCATTTTATTTTCCACAAGACATGACTGCTTCTGCTTGACAGACACTAATTAATGTATTGCAGTTCATAAACTCTCAGTGTCGAGAATACTTCGAGTGTGTAATCTCCTAATTAAAAGGGGGAAGTAAACAACCTGATGACCTGCATAGCAAATCCTCACAACTAATGTCACCATATTGTTTTACATGTGTCCCTGTCCAAAGACAGTGGTAAAACCCAAGTCAGTGGTAGTGACTTTCACACTCTAAGGAATAAAAGGAAAACAAAATGTCTGCCCAGTTGGAGCATTAGCCACTGTCAGTTTGCTTTTTTCTATTAGACTCAGCAGTGTCTCATTTGTATGCTCCCTCTGGATCGACACTCTTTCCTCTACTGCATATTTTCCCCTCCGCAGAGTTGCTAAAATGAACAAATCCAGCAGTAAAAAAAAAAGCCGTATTGACTTTCAGATGCAAAATACGTGTGTGATCCACAAGGCCAGTCTCGGAGAGAGATTCTGTGATATCTGGTCCCCGCAGATTGCTGTGTCATGCGTATTGAGCGCTGAATTACAAACACTGTATTAATGGCATGATGAGCATGGAGCAGGCGCCAGCGAGATATTAAAATGTGCAGCACTACATTTGAACAGGTTCAAAAATCTCATACACCGTGATGAATAATGCATATCACAAGGGATCATGTGTTATCTGTTCTCAAAGGCTGCAATGTAGGTGGTATGAAATATCATCCTAAATACAGTATTAACAGCAGGCGGGAGAATTTATTTGACTTTGTTTGGATGAAAGGTGACAATGAAAAGGGTGCAACTGGTTGAGTTTGTGATTCCACGTGGAACCATGCCTGCATGAAATGTGCCAAACCTTATTTAAAGTTCTAAAGTGAGGCCGACCTCTAATCCAGAGTGTGTGTTTAGTGTGGGTGTGTGCATGTTTAAATCATTCCCTGTTCGCTCAGTGTCATTTTCATAAATCTGCTTTTTTGTGAGGAGTGATTAAACTGAAGGTCCTCTTTATGAGGCCTTTACATCCAGGCAGCCGTGGAGATGCTGCTGGAGCTAAAACACAACCTTATATGACAGTGATTCACCGCTGGGGCCGGAGGTTATAGGAGCAAGAGGACAACTATTGAGCTGAAGGCAATGGGTATGATTGCATCTGCAGGAAAAAGGGGGAAGAAAGAATGAAGGAAGGGACTGCCAGTAGAGGGCGCTATCTCTGTTTCTTTTGTCTGCCTGAGCCACCTGTTGTGTTGCTGCTCTGATGCATGTGTGTTGAAGCGCTTGAGCTAAAGAAGAATAAAGGATGAAACTTTTTTTCTTTTCTATCATCTGCAACAACCTGTTGATGACATGAACAATCTGCCAGTGAAGTGTGCATCGCTAAGTGTGCGACAAAGTGTGTTGTTGTGTGGATGCAAGAGTGTGTGTTTTTCATGTGTGTGTGTGTGTGTGTGTGTGTACTTACTCTCCACTGTGAGTACGACAGGCTGACTGGTTTTGTTCTCCCCGTTCTTGTCGTTGACCGCCTGGGCGTAGTAACGTCCCGCATCAGGGGGCCACGGTGGACAGGATGACCAGCGTGTTGTCCAGCGTGATGGCACTGAGGAAATATTCATGAGGACGTTAGCTTAGCATACTTCTGAGGACACTGCTGTGCCAGTCATGACAAACGCCCTAGCTTAATAAAGACACAAAAAAGATTTAGTTGGTGTTGAATGTAGTTAAATTAATTTGGGATCACCAATTTGGCTCCTAATTAAACAGACAACTGGTGTGAATTGAAAAAAAAAAAAAAAAGCCCTTGAACACCCCAAACTGCAGGCATACACACATTCATCCGCACACAGACATGCTCATATCATTAAATCAGTGTGAAGTAGTTTCTCACAGTCAATAAATCCTGAGGGTAGACTGACTCACACACATGTACGCATATATTATTATCTGAAGAAAAAAAAAAGTGCACAAAAACAACTTTTATGAGCCCTTCACTCTACAAGGTATTGCATAGTCTTAAAGGAATATCTCAGTGAGAATAAAATTAAGAGAGAATTTTTCCATTTCTGCATATTCTTGGTTATTAGTACAAATTTGAACCATAATTATAATCACTGTAGAAACCCAGGGGGGGGCTGAGATCAGTTAGGCTGGTCTTGTGAGATACTCTAGGTTCATAGAGAAAGCTCCGCGGTTGGATGTGTGGTTCTTTTTTTCCCTCCACTTATAAAGAAATTCTAATAAATCCCGACAAATTAATTGGTCCCTCAACAGCTTTGTGAAACTGATGAACTTGGATGTCTACATATTTGAAGTATGTTTGTAAGATGTAACAACAGTCAAAGTCCATCTTTGTGAGACATGATGCCCACGAGTATAGATATTAATAATTGCTAAAGGCAGATGTTAAAAGGAGCGCAAGTCCTTAATTAAGTGATGTGCAGAATTAGCTTTTATTTTCTTTAAATGCTCGAGCCTTTAAACGTACTGAAACATGTTATATGAGCGTCATGTAAGATGATCCCACATTGATTCAAACATTTGTAATAATAAGGATCAACACTTGTAGAAACGTATACAAGCAATTAGCCTGAAAATATCAAGCTACTCAGACTTTTATGACTGTTGGGTCTCAGTGGCCTTGGGATTGGTTAGGCTGATGGTTCTGAAGCGCCTGAGAAGGACCCCATTAAACGAGAGCTGATGCTAAGCACACGGCCAGATTAGCCTCTCGGTATCTGCAGGCATCTGAGCGATCGGTTCAGGATAAACAGACACACTCCTGGACAATTACAAGCTGTACTTTTTTCACCCAGTCAACAGACACTTTACACAAACACACACAAACAACGGTTCATACACACACGGCTGGGAATATCAATGTGGCTCGACACAAAGCGGGCAAACAAGCAGTAAATGCAGAGTGTCCTGTCAGTGCCTCTCATTGTCACAGAGCAAGGCTTCAGCGCTTCACTTCTGATAAGAGTCAGCGGCATAGTAAACCAGCTCTGGAACTGGTCCAAACATTCATGGAAGAGGTTGAGCTTGTTGTTTCTTTTTTATTATTATTATTATCATTATTTCAATTCCCCTCACTGCTTGTACTTGCTTTTTTTGGAGCGGCCCCCAGGCAGACGATACAATCCGACCTTCAAGCCAGAGCATGCAGCATTTTTCAGAGTCGAAATCTTCATGTCAGCTACGACATGCTAGAGCTTGTCAATGAATAATCGATGAGGAGGAGGTTTCGGAGGAGTTGTATGCTGCCTTCCTCTATTTGTCGGGATGGCAAAATTAATCTCAGGTGGTTCCCTTCACAGTTTTGTCTTCAGGAAAAATGCATAACTGAACATGAATCTGACATGCATAAACAAAAAAAAGCAGCAAACACACACTGACAAATGGAGCATAGAGATATATGCCGTCACCCACAGAAACTCCCACTCTGCACATACAGCCTCACAATGATTCTTACATGCACATACAGTATGCACACACCCGCCCTTTCACACACAAATCCACCCAGGGGTGAGAGCTGTCAGTCAAACATATCATCAATTGAGGCCCTTTGTCCAATTTTGTCTAATTGGTTCCCCCGCTGCCTGCTCTATCGCTACCCTTCAATCATTCTGCCTCGCAGAGTCAATAGGGGAACTATAATAACCTGCTTTATCACTGAGAGGTGATTCCATGATGAACACAGGGCCAAAACTCGTTCATCAACTACTACCCTGCTAAACTTTTGCTTTTGGTGTGAGGGGGGGTTCAGAGAAAATCTGTGAGCAGTATCAGCCATCTCAGAGTTCTGTGAGGTTGAAAAACATTCCGTCTTTCACCAGCAACTCAGAAAGAAACGCACATGTCAAACTCACACAGGCTCTTCTTCACACACCACACAAACCAAGCCGAGGGAAGAGAGTAGACTCACATACGGCTGCTGGAGGGAATCTTACGTCCGTCTCTGAACCACGTGATTTGTGGCCTGGGGAAGCTGTGTATCCGCGGAGAGTGGAGGAGAGCACCGTCACCCTGGGATACAGTTTGAGACCTTTCGCCCTCCACGAAACCACCCATGTCTTGCGGACATAAAGAAATGTTTTTTTTTAAGGGAGAGACAAGAAAAGTTCAATATGAAAACTCGTGAGAGAAACTGTTGCCCAAATGTTGCAAATGCATGCCTGCAACAATGAAGATGAAAAGGTGGAATTGTCATTAGTACCCAGTCTTGTAGATTTTTTTTTCACTATACTTGACTCAGAGTGACTCATCCCCATGACAAGCCTTCAACAAAAACACTGTCCTCCCCTTATTCTGTCAGAGCTGCAGATGTATGGAAAGGAGCCCACACTTACAGGCGACCTGCACTTCAGTGCTGCACTGCATTATAGCACCCACTCGATTCCTCACAATGCAGCGGTAGTGGCCAGCATTCGCTCGGTCCAGCGTCGGGATCAAGTACCTAACGGGCACACATAAAAACAAAGTGCCGTTAGTCATCATCAACATGACAGACAGCGACATTCGTCATCTCGGCGGCTCTTTTGTCCGGCACTCTCAAGATGCTAAATTAATGGAGATGTTTCACTGGGCACCTTAAGCACGTCTTAAATGGCATTCTACTTAGAGAAGCCTTGAAGGGAGATTTGTTGCTGATGTACTTCTTCCCGGTAAATAGCAAACTAAAGCAGCGGAAATGTGTTTTTTTTTTTAAAGCTCTCCTTGGAGTGTACAGCAAAGACAGCAGAGCTCCAGACTGGCAGGACTCACAAAAACCTCATTGTTATCTTGTATCTCCAGTCAGGGGAATACAATCATACGAGCACCTCTCACATGTGCAGCCATATACAGTCTGTCTGTCTATCCCCTCATGTGCATTCATGTTAAATGGGCTGTGTGAAATGCGAGCGAGACAACCCCAGAGCAGAGTCCCCTTTTAATTGGTTTGCTACAGCCACTAAGGAGTGTGTTGTCCGCCCCTGCCATGTTCCCCTCTGCACTGCAATTTGGATAAGGGTGGTGGTGGTGGTGGTGGTGGTGGTGGTGGTTGTGGGTGGGTGGGGTGAGGGGGTGTAGGGGGTCTGATTAAATGGATTCCAGTTCTCCTCTTTGATCAGGGCTGGTGAAGAATAACAAGCAGAGGGCTGGCCTGCAAAGCAGACCCAGAGACTAAGCCACGTGAGAGCTCAGCCAAATGCTGAGTAAAAAAAAAAAAAAAAGAAGAAGAAGAAGACGAGGGGTGAGACAGGGGGAGAGGGAGAGGATTTGAGAGAGGTAGAGAGACGGACAGAGGAAGGAATGAGTGTGTGGTTAAGGAGGGTTGTAGCTCCTGATAGCAATCAGACAATGCCACCAGAGAGTGTCTGTCCATGTCTCAGGGACGAGTCTGACTGTGAGTGGAGCAGAGAGAAGAAAAAAAACACCTAGAGTGAGAGAGAGACTGACTTTTTCTATGGACTGGAACTGGAACCACACTTATACAGTACATAGGCGTACTGATGCATAGGCGCAGACGCACACAGAGACGCCTTGTTAGCGCAGGCTGAGGCTTTTTTCCTGCCACACTCCTGCGCTGTTAGTAAAACTGCTCAGCGTTGTGTTTACAGGCTGAAGTAAGTGCCCTGAAGAACTCCCCGGTCAGTGAAACAGCATCTTTCTGCTGACATCGCGGAGTAGGCCAACATCCACACGCTATACAATCTGACAAACAATATGCATTGTGAGGTTTTGTTGCAGGCGATGATAGTTTGAACAAACAGCAGAGAGTAGAATAGTTATCAGCTCCCACCATCTCTGAATGTTGAATACGGTGCGAGATACAAATCGGGAATAAATCTGACAATCCCCCAAACGCAGGTTGTTATGTCTCAAGGGAGACATGCAGCCAAATCGGTCCTGAATAATTCCATAGAAATGAGTCACGAATATGAATAAAAATGAGCAATTGAGCTATTAGTTACAATTAAACGCTGCTGAAATGTCCTTGTGTAGTAAGCTAATTATAGTTGATGAATAATAATAATCAAAGAACGATAAGAGAATCAGTTCTGGCAGACAGGGTTGCATTCCTCACCTGTACTCCAGGGAGAAGCGTGTCAGCTCGGTCCCATTGTAGATCCATTTGAATTCCAGCGGCCAGCTGCCCTCTGCCATGCAGGTGAGGACCAGGCGGTTTCCCTCCAGATGAACCTGGGTTTGAGGAGGCTCCATCTTGAAATAAGGTGGGACATCATCTATTGAAAAGTGGGACAAGACAGACAAAAGAGGGTTACTGTGATATAAAAAGACACAAGAAAAGACTGACAGAAAATAAAAAAAAGAGAAGCAGAGAATAGTTGGTGAAAAAGGCGGTGATTCAGTAACCCCTCCGAGCAGACACACAACACAATTCCAGCAATTCACAGGAAATGAGGGCTCAGAACAAGCTATTTCCATTTTTCTTGTGCACTGATTGGGGAACTTGAAGGTCAACAGAGAAGCCTGCCAAAAAAGCACATGGAATAAGTTGTTACTGCAAAAGCAGCTTACTCTTTTATTTCATTTGAAACGCGCTGGCAAAGAGGTATAGAGGAGCAATTTGTGCAGCAGAGGGAGTGTAAATGAACACGTCCATACCTCTAGATCACTAAAAAGGATGGGTGAAGAGAGAGTGGAGAGACGGGGCGGGAGAAGGGAGATTGAAAGAGGTTGGGAGAGAAAATAGACAGAAAGCAGATGGAGAAAAATACAGCCGAGATTGTTCACAAACACACACAACAAAAAAAGAAGAAACACAAGCAAGTAGGAGGAAGAAAGAGTGTGAAACTGGGAAGCCATGGGGGTAGGGGCTGGGTTTAGAAAACACAAAGTTTCACAGCCTTAAACCCCCCTTCTCTGACAGGATGAGTTATGCTCTGTGCTTCCCTTCATTTATCTTTATAGTTCCCTAATGCAGCCAGATTATACAAGCCCCATCCGCAACACTGCACACAGCCAGTGCAGTCGCAGAAAGCCTTTAAGGTGATACACAAGGTCCAGGGCTCAGCTCGGAGACAAAGTGCTTTCATTTGAGCTGATGAAAAAGGCATGATCAGACCTATTGATCTGTCTGCCTCACCAGCCACGGGCGACACTGAGCCGATTGTGCCAGTGTTTGTGGCGGGCTAATTAAAGTCTGTATTAATAGTTGCAGTAAGCCGCCAAGGCCTCAAGCACGCCTGGTTCTAGGTCTTCCACACTAGCTGACTCACTCTCATGTCTGATTACTGGAGCTCCTTCCTCGCCGTCTCTCCCCACGTCCGTACGCAAGTTCACACCAGAGATTTATGGAGCTGAAACGGAGGATGGTGTGGCGGCAGCAGGCGGAAGAGAGTGCATGTGAGGGCAGGCGTGCCGAGCAGGGAAGAGGAGACAGAAAATTGAACCTGATTGAAACTGTAAATAAAAGAATGACTGTGCACCTCTGTGTTTCACACAAGCAGCCATGCACTCAGTGTGCATATACACATAGACACAGAAAAACCCAGGACGCACACACACCAGCACACTTCCGAAAGCTGCAGCTTACTCCCCAATCTATAACCCACAAGCACAGCACTCATAAACAGAGGCAAACAAACAACAGCCAATTCATTGCTCTCTGTTTCAAAACCAGTCCCAACATTTTTCACTGTTTGGTAGCAACAACACTCCTCTACCTGGCTAATCTGTTCTTTCTACCACCATCGCAAAAAAAAACAAAAAAAAAAACCCTTAGAAACAATCACCACCAAACCCGACCAGGCACTTGAAATTGATCCCTGTTTGAGCCCCAATGGAGGAGCCATCCACATTTTCCCCAAGCACATGCTGCTGGAGTGGTGGCTTTATGGTAATTCCATCCACCAGAAAAATGCACTCGCACTTGAAACACGCACATACACAAAAAAAAGGCACTCTGTAAACACACACACAATGTAAACACACACACACACACACACACACACACACACACACACACACACACACACACACACACACACACACACACACACACACACACACACACACACACACACACAGACAACTCGAGAACATTCACTTATGCCTGAACAAATGCGCACAGGCATCACCAACCACTCCCAGCTGGTTTAGGGGCTCTGTGGCATCGTGCACTTAGCAATGCAGCTCCATCAACGTGCCTCCATTAGAGACCCGTAAACGCCAAACCCAGACTCGCACATTAATCGTCTGAAGCAAGGAATATACATAATACCAAGTTACCGATGTGAAATGACATAACTGGGAAATTGAGTGCACAGGAATCATCGCCGTGGTAAGCAGTTTGAGTGCAATTTTATGTGTTCACATCCGTTTCTGCCTCAAATTGCCCATCCAGTTGGACTCCGATTATAAATCCCCAAACAGTCGCATCTGCAGAACTTATGACAAAATTCCACTGCTAAAAAACGTTTTAACATCACAAAGATTGTTCCACAGATTCCACAGATTGTAACACACTCGGTTACGTGATCTCCTTTTCGAGACTCGGCGAGAACTGAAATTGCAGCTGACCACTGAGCGCTAACCGTTCCTACTGCTGAGGAAAGAATCAGATAGGGCCTATTCCTCCGCTCTTCACAGTGAGCCACCGCGATCGAACAGCAACGTATTTGTGTCCGAGGAAGACAAACACTGTATGCCATTCAGGTGTGTTCTCTCAGTTTCCTCAGATTTCCTTGCCCTTTAAGTGTATGGAGAGTGGTTGTATGTGTATGTCAATGTGGGACCATCTGTGTCTATTTTTGCTCATGGAGAACACTTAGGCGCGTATAGGCGCTTACAGTACAATGCTCTGTTGATACGTACAGTATGTACAGTAGAGATGGCTCATTGTTGATGAGTACGCTTTTGTCACTAATGTGTCAGGTCGATGTGTTTGCCTCCACTTTGATGTGATCCGTAATTTGTCTCAGTTGTCAACTTGTATTAAAGCAACAGAACAGAGCCTGAAGACACAAACACAGGAATGTACAAAAAGGGAACTATAGACTCGGCTTAATTACTGGAGACCTTGTGTACTTCTGATTGGCTGCATTGAGAGAAGGAGAAGCTATCATCCCTCATGCAGAGACAGGAGTAGGAATTGGAACAGCACTGGCTGGGAATAACTGTCGCTTCCTCCTTTACTGTCATGAACAAAGGGACCCTGGTGCATTTTGGATTCATGGCAGTGCATGACGCGGGCTTCACATCCAGATGGAAAGCCAGAGGGCCGTTGTTCTGTACCGAGGAATTCCTGCATCACTTTGAGCACAAATAAAAAGGCAACCGATCTGGGTCGACAGATCTAGGGAAGACCAAAAAGCGGCATGGGAGGACCGGGATGGCTTTCATGTGGCTGCTGTGTGTAGCAGCTGCCCCCAACAGTCAAGCTGGACCACCGCGGCCTATTCACTGCAGATATAAAACACCTTACTCTAACCTGACAGCTGAGCTTGAATGGTGGCATGGCTCCAGCCGGGTCCCCCCGCTGCATACGCAGAATTTTAATAGCTGTAAGACAAAGACCACAGGCATTGGGGCAGCTTTATAAAACCGAGGCCCATTGTGCTCCCCATCGTGCCATGCTGGCATGCTATCACACAGATGGTGTTCACATTCCACTTTTGTCTTGTATCCTCTCTCTTGCTTATTTCGGGCGCTCACCTCCTTACCCCTGCTCCTCTCCAGCAGCAGGAAGCTCTTCCTGCCTGCTGTTTAATCCTCAGGCACCTGCGATTGAACCGATGTAACCACATCCTAGGTGGCACTCAGCAACAACTGTATCACTGAAATGCATCGATAGAGTGGAGCCCCTGCCTGTTGAAACATTTTGAGGTCCACTCTTGATATCCACTCACTTTTTTCTCCAGACCTCACTCACTTTACCACCCTTTCTGCTTTCTGTCTCTACACCTTTCTTTTCTCTTCTGAGACACACTCGCTCCAAGAAGACACAACTCCCCTGCACCATCCACCTCCTCCAATCCGCCTTGTGGAGCATCGTGTGTCACCCAGGAAAATTTAGAGCTATCCTTTAGCCTCCACAATTGGACTTTAATGCGCGAGATGGGTCATGGTTAGCCTCTCTGATGGGGGTTATGTAACAGTCATGGCACTGACCTTGGCCTAGTAATGGGTTGGTGAAAAGGTTTTGTGTTGTGTGGTCGATGGAGGGAGGTTAAAAGCATCTTAAAAGCTGATGAAACATTTCCCTTATGGGTACACACGTGCACATAAATGCACACACACATCACATGCATACACACACACACACATGCTGAGTTGTATTCTCAAGTTCATTTGTCGCTTTACAAGTTGATCTGAGCATCTTTGAGCCAGGAAAATGAAGCTCTGCAAACACACCAACACACACCAACACACACACCTACAGATATTCACACCTTCCCCCATGAAAACATAGCCCGTCCTGAAGGTCAGACTGATCTGTCACTCTGTCACAAGCTGCTGTCACCGGGACAACAGGCACCACACCGATTTACACTCCATCACTTAGGTGAGTCAGAAAGCAGGCAGACACAAAGGGAGGGATTAAGAAAGAGCGTGTACAAGAAAAGACAGAGAGGACGAAGATGGAGTGACACTGGGAAAGATGGTGAGAGATATGCAGAGATTCGAGATCGGGAAGTGATGTAGGCACAGTACAAGGTGAGAGACTGTGAGGCGGGGGGGGGGGGGTAAAAGAGAGAAGAGGAGGGTGTCCTCCAACACAAGGCAGCAAGGTGAAGCGACCCATTACAGCCAAACAAGCAGGCCAGGCTTGAAAGACGGGGAGGGAGACGGAGAGCCTCCATCAACCCCTATATATTCATTTCAGAAAATGGCCCATGGATCAACATCTGCATGCCGCATGCGAGTGCCAGTCCGTCAGAGCTCGATATGTCCCTCCCCCTCTTCATATTTATAGTCCCTTCATCATGTTTGTAGGACTGCAAACTACACAAGATCTCTGGGTAACTGTGCTGTGGCAATATAGACTTCATGGCCCAAGTAGCATGACTTTAAAAAGCTGGAACAGTCGTGCTCAATACTCTGAGGAAGAGACGAAGAAGGGATATGGATTTTCTTTTTAAGCTTTAAAAAAAAAAAAATGATGCGTCTGCTTTGATGTCTCGGAAGAAAAAGTCCTCAGGTCCCCTCAGATGAAATACTGCCGGCGTCCCAGCTGTGTTTAGTGGATCGCTACGGGTTAATTGATGTGTAATTGATGTGA